AAGCCCTGGACTCCCACAGCTTTTAAAGGTGATGACCTCAGGGTTTCTCCCTTCCCTGGTCGTTAACACCAGCGAGGTGTCCCTGGGGGTCCTTCCCACTGGCTCGGTGCCTCTGGGCTCTCTCCCAGCCCGCTGACACCGGGCACAGCACCCAGGGCTGGAGCTGATTTACAGCCCTGCTAGCAGCCCGCAAGAACACCACAGAGGCTGCATTCATTAGGGACTCTTTATTAGCAAAAATAAAGGATTTCTTGTCATATCATTTCAGATAAATAGGTGAAAGTTCAGCCAGTGACAGAAGCCGTGCTGATGTTGTCCTTGCCTCCAGGGCTGTCCTTGCTTCTCCCACAGCATCGAAGGTGTTTGGAGGGGAAAACAAGCTCAGAATTGGCTCAGTGGGAGATTAATGTGCTTTGTAAGAAGCTTAATTTAAGTTTTACAGTCTTTGGCTGCCCTTGAGCCTGAGCTTTCAGCAGGAGGAGCGACCCATGGAGCAGCATTCCTGCCCTGCTCTGGAATATCCAATTCCTGTGCGGGCAGGCTGCCAGCAGGAATCCCCTGCTGCCACCAGAAATGTCCACAAAGAATAAATCCGGCATAAATAACATTTCCTCAGCTGGGACTTGCACAGCAAACACCAAACTGGCAGTGTTTCATCAGCTGGGGGCCCTTAAACTTCTAAATATTAGAAGTAAAAGCCTCTCTTGGGGTTGTGGCATTTCCTCTGGCTCAGGGTCCACCGGGGTGAGGAGGAAGCTGAGCCCTAAAATCAGCCACTTTTGGAGGCTTTTTGAAGCTGCTCCCATTGCTCGTGGGGATTAAAAACCCAATCCCTCCGTTGGCAGTGCTGGGAGCAGCCCCACGGATTTGAATGCAAATTACCCGAGCCACCTTAAAATGGTGGTTAATTAAACATCCTCTAACTTCTAAAAGAAAATGAACAGCAGTAAAACAGTGAGTAAAACCCAATCAGAGACTGGAAAATGGTAAGGTTGACTTTGGAAAGTGCAGGGTGGCTGACCCAGCAGCTCTGGAAGGCAGATACTGAGCAATATTTAAGCCAAGTTCTATTAGAACCAAACATTTTGTTCCTATTATTAATTTTTAAAATTTAGTCTGGACTAATCTACAGGCTGAAGTCTAAAGTGGAGCCAGCCAAGCTGTTGCTGTGTTTTTTTCTCCTCCTAAATATAAAACCACCTGATTGCATAAATAAATTTAGATATAGAATATGAGGAGAGGGTCATTTGCCTAAAATTAAATTTTGTTGAGCTCAGAGCTGGCCTTGCTCCTAAATCACTCGGGATAAGCTCAGCTTATTGTCTGCTCTCAAGAAAAACACTGCTTTGGACATTTTGAAGCTATGAATAAAATAGCACTATGATAAACAATATTAAAATATTAAACAATAAATAGTAATTTACAAGCTCATCACTCCTTCCTTCAAAACATATTGTAAACATCAACACTGAGGTATTAGAAGTAATAAATAATAAATTCATCTCTTAAAAAAATCAGCTCTTAAATACAATATTAAGCTGGAAGTTATTGTAACTCTTAACCTGAACCTTGAGATAATGTAATATGAGCTCTTGCAGCCTAAAGTGATTCTTAAAAGAAGATTTGGTGTGGAAAATGCAGACTCAGGGGTGCTCTCAGTTCTTTCTCCTCATTGTTAAATATTTTTCAATGTAGTTGATGAAGTTGTCAAACTCTCCCATGGCCTTGTAGATTCCGTTCTTGTCCATCTGCAGGGGAAAGCCAGGAGTGTTTAGTGGCTGTCACATCATTTAATGTGATGCACAGTGCCTGCACAAATCCTCCTCCCATGGACACCTCCAGCTCCTCTGCCCAATCCCCTGGGAATTCCAGAATTCCCACCCTTCAATCATCACTATGGATTCCTCTGCCCAATCCCCGGAAAATTTCAGAATTCCCACCCTTCAATCATCCCACTATGGATTCCTCTGCCCAATTTCCTGGGAATTCCAGAATTCCCACCCTTCAATCATCCTTTTCTGGATTCCTCTGCTGCAAGAATTTGTGTGATCAAAGACATTTTTGTGCTCTGCTCTCCCCTCTGAGCCCCCTGCCCTGCCCAGCCTTTGTCCTTACCCTGCTGAAGGTCTCCTTGATGTGCTCCATGCTCCTGCTCCTCTCCTCACAGGTGAAGAATCTGTGCTGCAAAGGGACACCAGCACGGCCTCAGCCCCGGGGGTCCTCCCCAGGGCTCTGGTGGTGGCTGTCCCTTCCTCCTGTCCCTTGTCACTGCTGCTCCCCACCTTCCCCGTGCTGGTTTGCAGAAGGAGCCCGCAGGGACCCGGGCTCCCAGCCTGTCCCCAGCCCTGTGTCCCTGCTGCCACTCCCTGGGGACAGCAGCTCCCTGTGTGGGACAGGGTTTGTCCCCGCTGACCCCACTGGTGGGCTCATGGCCACTCCAGGTGTGATTTCAGCAGCTCCAGCATCCAGGTGAGGGACAGATCTCCTGCCCACCCTCTGTCTGTCCAGAGCACTCCGGCACCTCCATCCCTGAGCTGCTGCCAGCACAAACCCCACCTGGATCCCTGCACCCCACAAACCCTGCCTGCCAGGACCCCGCTCCCCACCCCATCCCACCTGCCGGGCCTGCCCTGCTCTGGGGCAGTGTCCCCGCGCTGTGCCCGCCACTCACACAGCGCCTCATCATGGCTCGCAGGCTCAGCAGGAGGTTGCCCAGGTCGCCCATGCTGTGCTGGTGCTCAGTGCTGGTCCTGATGGCGCTGGGCAGCACCTCCTCCATGTAGAACCCCATCATCTCCGACACCGACTGGCAGCCAAGCCTGCCCTGGGGGACAGGAGGGAGAAGTGTTGGGGGAGATGAAACAAGAAAGCTTTATCAATATGATTGCCTGGCAAAAGATTTAGGAAATACAGAGACTGAGATGGTAACAAGTTTTGAGATACCAAACCTTAGTTACTGAACAACTAGAACCCAACAGTACAGGCAGGATGAAGACAATCCCCCCTTCTGGTTGGACAATGCCCTTACCTGCAGGTAGGTCCAAGGGTCAGAGGGACTGTTGGATCTCACCCCAGTGTGTGGGTCATCCCTGTTGGATCTCACCCCAGCGTGTGGTTCATCCCACACCTGTAACCCTCCCCTGAAGCATCAGGAGTCTGTGACCCCATTGGCCTGAGTCTTGTTCCAGCCCACCTTGAAGCCCCTGACAAGGAGTCCCTGAGGAGCCAGACGATCTCTTGGAACTTCCACTCTCTTGGAGCTTCCACCCTCTTGGAATTTCCACCCTCTCCTGGAGCATCCTCTTATCTCCCTCTACCCCTTGCCTCTCCCTTCCCCCACGTCCTCAGGCCTGCCACGGGTCACATCTGGTGACTCCAAGCAGGGCCTTCCACCCTCTCTAATAAACCAGATATTCGAAGAGCAGCCTCCAGAGATCTCTGGTCTCCATCCATCCAAACCATCCTGGAGCCCAGCGTCCCCACAGGGCTTCGGGATGGCCACCAGCACTGGGGTGGGACTGGACAAAGCACAGCTGGGCTGGGAGCCACGCTGGCCACGGGGCAACCTCGTGCCAGCCCCGCCACAGCCACACGTGTCCCTGCAGGGTGGCACGGGCAGCCTGGCGTGACAGCAGCACACGCCCCCGTTTCCAGCTGGCTTCCTCCTTCTTATGAAACCTCTGCCCAAGGATGGGGAAGGAGGAGGAACTCGCAAAAGAATGAGATTTTTACCTTGATTTCCTCCAGCAGGTCAGAGCTGAGCAGCTGGATGCTGAGGTCTTCATCTTTGGATTGCTGGAGGAGGATGGAATTGAAAAATGAGATTTTTCAGGCAGGCAGTCAACTCTCCCCATTTGCCCTGACAAATGATCCTTCCCTTTTTGCATTTAGGGTCTCCCTGCAGCAGAGGCAGAGGGCACCCAGTGCACGTGTGGGCAGAGCACAGTGCCACCAGGCAGAGGGGTCACTCTGCTCCTCAACCTGGCAGCACAAGCACTGTTCGGTCAGGCCAGCAAGAAAATGAAATCACAGCCTTTGGTGCCATTGAATTTGTCAATGTGAAACTCCTGGGGCTGAGCTGGAGCCGCTCTCTCTGCTCAGCTGCACTGGGGTGCCTCTGAGGGTGCCCCTGCACACAGCAAAGCTCTGCAGAGCGGTGCCAGAGCCCTGGCAGCCCCTGGGAGCCAGCCCAGCCTCTGCCAGGGCAGGAGGGCTCAATCCCCCTGCTCTGGTTACCCCTGGGAGCCTCCTGTTGATGGGGAAAAGGGGTTTGTTCTGGTGCCTCTGTGCCTCCGGCTGCAATAGGGTGGGTAGGCACCACCCAAAGCATTAAAGCCTTAAAAACTGCCCTGAGAGGTTAAAAATACTCCTCCCCAGCATTATCTGGGAGATTCACAGCCAGCTGAACATCTAAAATCTTGCCTGTGTTTGCTTGATGGCAAACACCAGCTGTGAGATTTCTCAAGCTAATTCTCATTAGCTTGAGATTTGATCTGGAGAATTATCTTTATTGCTGAAACACATTGATATGGACTAAAACAGCAAGAAGGCTGTGACCAAGCACCTCTGTCAGCCACGGCAGATGCTCTGAGGGCATCGTGTGCTGTGTGCTCAGCAGCCCTGAGGCTCCTGAGATGCAGGGCAGGGACCTTGCACAGGCGCCAGTGCAGGTGTTGTGCTCCTCCCCTGATAAAACACCTTGTGCAGGTTTTGTGGCTCTTTCAAAGAAAAAAATCTGCAGCAAAAGATTGCCCTTTTCACCTGGCACTGACTTCAGCAGGGTTGGACCTGGTTGCCCTGAAGAAAAAATGATTTCCTTCCTATTAATTCAGTAATTAACTTGGCTTGCAATATTTTGGGGGAAGTTTGGCTAGAGAGGTTTGCAGATGTTCCTTATGAAACCTCGAGTTCATTGTTAATGAAAAAACTAGGAAGAAAAGCCTGGCAGATTTCCTCTCAGCGAGCAACAAAACCGAGCTGCCCTTAACGCAACGCAGCCAAATCATTTCTGCTGGGAGGAAACTCTTTCCCCTCCTCCAGATCCCGGAGCCTCGCCAGAAAGGTAAAAACCAGAAAGACAAAATAACGATACTTACAAAATAATCCTTAATTTCCTCAAACTTGAGCCTCAGCTCTTTGAGCTTGGCGGGCAGGAGCTCGGGGAAGTGCAGGCAGGAGGGCAGGGCGCGGGCGGGCGCGGTGCCCAGCAGCAGCAGCAGCAGCAGGATGGGCACGGCGGTGCCCATGGTCCTCATCCCGCGGGGCACGGCTGCTCCCCTCTGCTGCAGCTCTGGGCTGGATCCCACGGGAGGCTACCAAGCAGATCTGCAGCTTTCACCTTGATGGAGCCCCTAATTTATACATCACTCCATTTCCTCTCCCCATTTCCTGACGAGCAATATTGGGGTTTTAAGTCAGTATTAAGCCCAAATGTCACTTGGGTTTCCCGTCAACTTGGGTTTCCTGTCCTCTCCTCACACCCCATCAATTTTTTTGTGCTTAGACTCTGCATTTTTTTTTTTTACATTGCTTGTTTCTTGTAAATTTAGCTGTGGCTGAGGAGGAAAGCTGCAGAGACACACAAAGAAGCCAAGGTCCTGCGTGATGTTAATTTATTCTCACAGTTCCATTTTTTATTTTTGGATCAATGTTGTATTGTTAGGAAAAAAAAAAAAGAGTGTTGCTACTTTTAAATCTCAGTATCAAACCTGCAGAAATCATCACTCAGCAGAATTGCTTTTCATGAACTGTACAAATTCTCTGTCTCTTCCTTTGGCATTCTAATCTGCAAACACACATCATCACCTGAAATCTTAATTTTTAATTCATTGGGTTTTTTTTTTTCTTTTTTCAGTTAACACACATGTCAGCTGAAGCCAATGTGAATTTTCACTGCTCAGCAAGCTCAGTTTGTGCTCCCAAATATCAGCTGGATGCCAAGTGGATCCCAGGGGAGAATCCCAGCCCTGCTCTGATCCCTTGTGGATCCTCCAGGGCACGATCAGGATTTGTGCCACTACTTTGATGCCTGGTGTAAAAGTGCATGAGCGGGTCATAAAAATTCATTTCCCAGGCTTTTAAATCTTATTTTGTTTCCTAGAAATGGACAGCAGCCCCATCCAAGCAGCAGAATGTCCTGTCTTAGCTGGGACTTATTGTCCCAGCTGTGATAAAATTGTCCCTTCGGAGCCGCAGAGAATTCCTGTGACGTGCCCCCATTTTCCGTTTCCCTCTCTTTTCTCCTCTCTTTCTGTATCTATTTTAGCCCACGCCTCCTGCTTCCTTGGGATAAAGATTTCACTTATTTATTCAGGAATTTGGCATCCAAGAAAGTGAGAGCGGAGATAAATTTGGGTTTTTTTTGAAATCAGGAGATTTTCTTTGAAATCCCTCATGTTATTTCACAAGAGCTCATTCTTCCCAGTAGGGAAGCATTCCTCCATTAGGGAAAAAATCCCTTAAATTCTCATCTCCTTCATCGCACTGATCTTCTTTGAAGTTGAATTTATGAACCTCTGAGAGGAGAATTTATTGCTGGAAAAATGCAAAGTATTGTTTGTTCCTGCATACTGTGAGTTCTTCCACTTTATTTTAGGAGCAGGAGAGGGGAATGATTGTCATGTACACGTGTAAGAGCAAAGGGAGGAAACACCAGCAACTGGAGAGTCTGAGGCAGGGGAAGTGTGGGATTTTGTGATTTGTTTTCCTTTTTTCTGTTGGTGTTGCCTCTTGCAGAGGTGATGGGGAAGCTGCTCCTGGGGAATCATTACAGGGACATCAGTGCAGCTGACTCATGGCCTGGGTCATGTTTTTGGTGACCCTTTTTTGTTCCTCTGCTCTAAATCAGCCCTGGGGATTTTCTCCTTGACTGTCAGCAGAATCCATCTGAAAGGAGAAGGGCTGAAGGCTTGGACAAAATTAGTCTTCAACTCAGTTCCCACAGGCAAAATCCCACCTTTCCCTGGGATCCCCCACACATTTTTGCTTCTTTTGCATTAATTTGAACCTGCCAGGGGTCAATAAATCTTCAGTGCCAAGACCTGGATGGCTGCTGAGGCTTCACCAGGGCATGGAAGCAGATGTGTGAGGTTGGTTTATGCGCTCCTGGATCCTCAAATCCTGGAGCTAATCCTAATCCCTTTGGGAAGGATGCAGCCCCAGGCTCTCCCCTGCAGTGGAAGGGCTGCTCAGCCTCAGCTGTGGGTTTAGAAGCTGTTGTTTTTATGGGGTACATGGCAGAGGGGCTTTGAAGAGAGGAGAGGAGAGGAGAGGAGGAGAGGAGAGGAGAGGAGAGGAGAGGAGAGGAGAGGAGAGGAGAGGAGAGGAGAGGAGAGGAGAGGAGAGGAGAGGAGAGGAGAGGAGAGGAGAGGAAGAGGAGAGGAGAGGAGAGGAGAGGAGAGGAGAGGAGAGGAGAGGGAGAGGAGAGGAGAGGAGAGAGAGGAGAGGAGAGGAGAGGAGAGGAGAGGAGAGGAGAGGAGAGGAGAGGAGAGGAGAGGAGAGGAGAGGAGAGGAGAGGAGAGGAGGAGGAGAGGAGAGGAGAGGAGAGGAGAGGAGAGGAGGAGAGGAGAGGAGAGGAGAGGAGAGGAGAGGAGAGGAGAGGAGAGGAGAGAGAGGAGAGGAGAGGAGAGAGAGAGGAGAGGAGAGGAGGAGGAGAGGAGAGGAGAGGAGAGGAGAGGAGAGGAGAGGAGAGAGAGGAGAGGAGAGGAGAGAGAGGAGAGGAGAGAGAGGAGAGGAGAGAGAGAGGAGAGGAGAGGAGGAGGAGAGGAGAGGAGAGGAGAGGAGAGGGAGGAGAGGAGAGGAGAGGGAGGAGAGGAGAGGGAGAGGAGAGGAGAGGAGAGGAGAGGAGGGAGGAGAGGAGAGGAGAGGGAGGAGAGGAGAGGGAGAGGAGAGGAGAGGAGAGAGGAGAGGAGAGGAGAGGAGAGAGAGGAGAGGAGAGGAGAGGAGAGGAGAGGAGAGGAGAGGAGAGGAGAGAGGAGAGGAGAGGAGGAGAGGAGAGGAGAGGAGAGGAGAGGAGAGGAGAGGAGAGGAGGAGAGGAGAGGAGAGGAGAGGAGAGGAGAGGAGAGGAGAGGAGAGGAGGAGGAGAGGAGAGGAGAGGAGGAGGAGAGGAGAGGAGAGGGAGAGGAGAGGAGAGGAGAGGAGAGGAGAGGAGAGAGAGGAGAGGAGAGGAGAGGAGAGGAGAGGAGAGGAGAGGAGAGGAGAGGAGAGAGGAGAGGAGAGGAGAGGAGAGGAGAGGGAGAGGAGAGGAGAGGAGAGGAGAGGAGAGGAGAGGAGAGGAGAGAGAGGAGAGGAGAGGAGAGGAGAGGAGAGGAGAGGAGAGGAGAGGAGAGGAGAGGAGAGGAGGAGGAGAGGAGAGGAGAGGAGAGGAGAGGAGAGGAGAGGAGAGGAGAGGAGAGGAGAGGGAGAGGGAGGGAGAGAATCACCAGGTTGGAAGAGACCTTTAAAATAATCGAGTCCAACCCAGCCCCAACACCTCAACTCAACCCCTGCACCCAGAGCCACATCCAGTTTTTTTTAAACACACCCAGGGATGGTGACTCCACCACCTCTCCGGGCAGACCATTCCAGAACTTTATCACTCTTTCTGTAAAAAACTTTCCCCTAACATCCAGCCTAGGCAGCAACAGGAGATGGAGCAGCCCCATGGTGTTGGGAGCCTCCTTCCATCCTGCCCAGCAGCTGAGCGCTCATTTCCAAACTTCTCTTGTTTCGAGCCGCCCTGGCTCTCCATGAAGTCACAGCTGACACGCTGAGCGTGCTCTGGCTCTTGTTCAATTCCCCAGCCCGTTGTGGAAGCCTGGGCTGTGTTTTGGGGCTGGCAGCAGCGTCAGGCAGCCGTGCCCGTTCCGCAGAGGAAACTCTGGCGTGCGCAGGGCGATTCTCTGCTGTGTTTACCTGCGTTTCCTCTGCCCCGTCACAGATCTTGACGGTGCAGTTTCGCTGTGACTCAGCCCTGCTGAGCGCTGTGGAAAGGCGGTGGCTGCTCTACTACAGCAAGATTCATGAATGAAGAAAACACCTTTTCCTAAAGAGTGTCCGGGGGCCGTGGGTGTAGCGCTGAGCCTTTAGGAAACAGCTTTTGTCTTTGCCAAGAAGATCGCTTCAGGAAGGAGAGTGTGTTCCTCAAAAGCCATTTGTGTGCTTTCAAAAGCCATCCGTGTGCTTTGACCCCACCTCCCCTAAACTTCTGACAGCGGCAGGTTCACAAGAAACAGCGGGGCAGCAAATGGGTTAGGGTTAGGGTTAGGGTTAGCAGCAAATGCTGCCCTAAATTCTGCACTGAAACAGAGGCCCGTGGGCAAATGCGTTCTCCCAAAATGCGACAAGAGGAAAGGTTGGTCCTGGACATGGTCTGGGCAGGGTTTGGCATCAGATGTCCTCAGAGTCCACCACTGTAGCAGGGTGGCTCCTCCTCACCCGAAAGGGCCTTTTCTTATCTTAGCAAGGTTTGATGCGACTAAGTTTTACCTTTTTTTGCCCTCTTGGTCTCTGCATTGTTTTTAGACAGAGGAACATTGTGTAGCACCATCCCTGCAGGGGTTTCACTGTCCCTGGAGGGGTTTCACCATCCCTGGAGGGGTATCACCATCCCTGGAGGCATCCAAGGAATGCCTGGACATGGCATTCACTGCTCTGATCTGGTGACAAGGCAAGGATCAGTCACAGGTTGGACTCAACGATCTCAGAGCCTCGGTGATGCGAGATTCTGTGATTTTCTGCACTATCTATTCTAGACATAACTTGGAGTATCCCCTCCATTTCTAGGCGGTCACAGTGGTGTTGTTCTTTCTTTCCTTTTCAGAAATTCCTCATTTCTCATCCCTGCAGCTCTGGAAGATCTGCTGCTGGTGACGCTCTTTGGGGAAGCAGGGACAGGGTGGCCTTTCCTTCACCCCGTGCTTGAAGGGATGGCACTGCTCTCTCAGCAGCCCAGTGCTGATGACTAACAGTTCCTGGTGAAGCACTAAGTGCTCTGCTTTGTGTTTTTTTCAATATTTTTTTCCTGCTGGCGAGGCGTGACGTTGGATATGTCAAATGTGGAAACCTGGTCAGAACTCGTGACTCACGTCCACCTCAAAAGGTAAATCCCAAATTGCTCTTTGGAAATTTAACCAATGTCACTGGTTTATCTTGACCAGAAATGGGTTATTAATCATGAATTGGTGTCACTGGACTTTGATGTGACTTCTAATGTGACACAGAGACACCATTATATAAGAAGTTCTTAGAAGGTCCAGAACTTCCACGTGATTTAAATTAAGCTGGAACTGTCTGGAATTGCCACATGAAAGAGTCAAAGGATGGAGATTTTCCACCCTCTGCAGATGCAGTTTTGGTGATAAACTTAAATGAGAAATATTTGCACTTTTTAATCGCACACATAAACCTCCCAATATTTGCAATTCTGTTGCAGCCTAAGGCAGAGATTGAATAATATCCAAATTTAATATCCCCCCTGGAATTCCAGGGTGCTCTCTGCCAACCTGGAAGAGCGAGTTGTCCGTTATTCCCTATTTTCCATGGGTTTTGCCACTTTGAGCCTTCTCTGAGGTGTGTGTGAGGAGTCGTGGGTGAGGTCAGTGATGCTGCCATCATCCTCATGGGGCTTTTCCCACTCCACATAGAAAACAGAGGTGTTGTTATGTTTTCCTCTCTTTTATTTCCCCTGAAATCAGCTGCTGACAGGAATTTTATGATGCTCACAGCACTGTCCTTAGAGAAACCAACAGGATTTTGGCACTGGAGTCTGAGGAGTGGGGACTGTGTGCTCCAAGTGAGCTTCTTTGTAGATAACTAAAAAGTGTAAAAGGATGCAAAAAAAAACCCTGAATATATAATCCATTGGCCCAAATATCACTTGCACTGCCTTTTTTTGGTTTTTTTGATCTTTCCACAGAAGCAATTTTGAGCAACTCCTGCCCTGAGCAGCTCATTGCACAAGTGCTGCTTTGAGGAGTTTCTTTTTTCTAGTTCTGGTATTACTTGGGTGGGGGCGAGGGGAGGAATGTGTGGATCTTCTGGAGAATATTGACTTTGTCATGATTTATCACCAAAACTCTGACCAATAACACAAACCCAGCCTATTTATAGTGCTGAGGGGTCATAAGACAGAAACTCCTTATCACGGTTTGAGAAATCAGATCAGCCCAAGCCGCTGCTCGGAAGCTCCAGGGTGAATTTCAGAGCCAGCTTCACTCACTTTCCACAGCAGCACCAGGCCCTGTGCCAACACTGGCCTGGCAACCCTCACCGTGGGGTTTTGGGGTGGTTTTTGTGCGGTGAACACCGAGAGGGTTTGGAAATTCTGGGTTTTCTCTGTCACCCCACAAAGTGAGGATCAGCTCTGGCCGGGGTGAGGATGATGGCTCACCCTCGGAGCTCGAGGGATGCGGCAGCATCCCCAGAGCTGCCAGGGGATTTTCCACGTGCTCCCACAGTGTCTTTCTGCTCCAAAAGCTTTGCTGTGGTTTTTTGATTAAAAAAAGATCCACCAGATGAGCTTTTCGGGGGTTTCAGAGGCTTTTAAAAGTGTTCAAATTCCCCTTCTGTTTTCTCTTTTTTTTACAGAGAGAACAGTTGATCCAACGTCCTTCTCCTGACAGACATCTTAATATGGAGACCCAAAGAAAATCATGGAGTCCTGGAGTGCTGCGAGTTGGAAAGGGCTGTGAAGATCATTTCTTTTGTGGGGGCAGAAGTTGAGTTATAAAAGAAGTACAGTTCAATTGAAATCCTGCTGCTCCCCATGGGAGCTCTGGTGTCAGCTCCACTCCTTCTCAGAGCTTCTCTCCTCGAGCTGCTTCAACAATTTCCCTGGGATTTATCTTTCTGGGGAAGCCTGAGGAAGATTTACTTCATGAACAGCATCAGGCATTTATGTCTCTGTTTGGTTATTGCTCTCCCTGTGGCTTTTGAGGACTGTAACTAGGAAGTGGAAGATGAAGTTGAATGGTGGAAAATCCCCCACACTGTTTAAAAATAAGAAGACCAAAAAAAAAAAAAAGGAAAGAAGAAAGAACAAGATCTAAAGCAAAGTTCCTCTGTTGTCGGGAAAGGAGGGAACTTCATCCCCACTGTTGTGTCCAGCAGTGTCTGGTGAAAATACAAAGTCAAATGAAGAGCCAAAATCCTTGCAGTGCCCCTGATTTATATTGATGGCTAAAAGGGGTTGTGCAGGAAGGAAATGCTCTGGATTTTCCAGAGCTTTCAGTATCCTCCAAGGTCAGGGGACAGAAGGCCAAGCTGGTCTCCCCATGTGTGCCAGGATCAGGCAGAGCTATCCAGGGCAATTGCAGAAGCTTCTGGAAAAATCAACCTTGTGCCAGAACACGATTTTCCAGGAATTTACACCTAGAGGCAAACAAACAGTGTCAAATTTTTATGTTTTTTGTATCAAACTGGGCAGGAATTGGTGGAGCCCAGTGGCTGTGACGTGCCAGCCTTCCCTGCTTGTCCCTGACTGCCCATCTCTGTGCCCTGGGGCCAGAGCTGGAGCAGAACTCGCCAGGCTCACGTGCATCCATCCCGAAACCAGCCTTGTCTCCTCGGGGTTGTGAAATTGAGAGGGGCAATATTAACCCAAAACCGAAACCCGGCGCGCGAGCCGGTTGCGTACAGAACCAACAGCGAATTTACTGAAACACAGCTTTCAGTTTTGGTGAAAGCTGAACCTGGTTGGCAATTGGAGTGATTCATTTGCTCCCTGGATTGTTCAAAAATGGAGCTGATAGCAGCCAGCTCTCAGTTTCTCCTTTATTAGGTGTCATTTATTGCCTGCACTGTCAGCACATTTCACCCGCGGGGCAAACCCAGGGGCTGTGTGGGACTGTCCAATCCATTGGCTGCTCCACGCTGCCAAACCTGGTTTTCCATCAAAATTGACTTTTGGGAATATGCTTTAGGGGTGGTTATGGGGGTTCTGGGGTTGATTGTTGGACTAGGTGATCTGGAAAGCCTCCTCCAGACTGGGTGATTCCGCATTTCTGTGAAGTGCCCCGTGTGGCTTCTGCTGTCACAGCAGCTTTTAGTTCTCCAGGAATAAGGATGGGAGGAATAGGAGAGCTGGTGTTGGGTTTGGGGAAGAGGAGAGCTGGTGATGGGTTTGGGGAAGAGGAGAGCTGGTGATGGGTTTGGGGAAGAGGAGAGCTGGTGAAGGTTTGGGGAAGAGGAGAGCTGGTGATGGGTTTGGGGAAGAGGAGAGCTGGTGAAGGTTTGGGGAAGAGGAGAGCTGGTGATGGGTTTGGGGAAGAGGAGAGCTGGTGATGGGTTTGGGGAATAGGAGAGCTGGTGATGGCTTTGGGGAAGAGGAGAGCTGGTGTTGGGTTTGGGGAAGAGGAGAGCTGATGAGGGTTTGGGAATCCCAGCAGACCCTGGCCTAGAGCCCAGTGCTGGTCCCAGTGGTGTTGGGGCTGCTGGTGGCATCGCTCTTGGAATGTGATGGATGATTCCCTCCCCTTTTTGGGCAACTCCTGAGCTGTTGCAGTTTTGGGATGAGAATTTCCCAAGGGTAATTCGATTCTCCAGCTGGTCCCTGAACTGGGCAGGGGTGAGCTGGGCTCCCATGGGTTGGTCCTTGGCATCACAGGGAGAATGAACAGCCTGGCTTTGGGCACAGGGGCACTTTGGGTGCACTCACATTGACACAGAGGTGGCAGATGAAGCCCAAGTGCTGGATAGCTGAAAAAAAAAAAAAAAGCTTTTTGAGCTGAATTATTTTACTCTAAAAACCTGAAATATGCATTTCCCTCTGGGGAAGATGCCATTTATGATAACCAAAATATGAGCTCACGTTTTGCCAGAGCAGAGGAAACAATTATCTAACCTTCCACACCCCCCACCCTGGTGACTAAATGAGTTTTCTGCAGAACAGCTGTTGATGCTCGAGATCCTCCACCACGCTTTTCCTCTTCCTCAAAGGTGAATCTTAGAAGAGGAGGGGGAAAATAAAAGAACGTTTCCTTTGATTTTTAATGTTTTTTTGCAATTTCTTTCCACTTTCAGAGTGAAATCCTCTCTCAGCAGCAGCAGTGCCCTTGGTGAGTCACTGGGCGAGTGTCACATCTGTGCTGGACAGGAGGTGACACAGGTGGTGGCATTGCTGGGACGTGTCCCTGACCTGGCCAAGGATGTCCAGCCAGGACAGGGGGAGCCCAGGGTCACCCCCAGCACTGGGGTGAGGCTCCCTGGGGGACATGGCACTGTCCCCTTCCTGCTGCACCTGGGGACACCCTGGGCTGGGCTGTTGGTGTCTGATGATGGCAGGAAGAGCCCCAGAGGGACAACCATGGGTGATGCCCTCAATCAGGAGGAATCAGACATTGTCTTGGGGTGAGGGGAATTGTCCTGGATGAGGGACATTGTTTTGGGATGAGGGACATTGTCTTGGATGAGGGACTTTGTTTTGGGGTGAGGGGCATTATCCTGGATGAGGGGCATTGTCTTGGATGAGGGATATTGTCTTGGATGAGGGACATTGTTTTGGGATGAGGGACATTGTTTTGGGCTGAGGGACATTGTCTTGGATGAGGGACTTTGTTTTGGGGTGAGGGGCATTATCCTGGATGAGGGACATTGTCTTGGATGAGGGACATTGTTTTGGGGTGAGGGACATTGTTTTGGGATGAGGGACATTGTCCCAGATGAGGGACATTGTCCTGGATGAGGGACACTGTCTTGGATGAGGGACATTGTTTTGGGGTGAGGGACTTTGTTTTGGGGTGAGGGACACTGTCCCAGGCTCTCCAAAGTTCCCTGAGCCCCCAGAGCTGGGACAGGAGCCCATCCTAAAGCTGCTGAGAGCCCTGGGCAGTGTGAAGCTCTCAGGAAGAGCCCTGGAAAGCAGCTGAACCTTGGCTCTGGATGTCTCCTGGAGCTCAGCTGAATAAATCCACATTTCCCTCAGCCACACTCAGCCTGTTGCTCCCTATGAGGCAGCACCAGCATTTGATTTTCAGAATTATTCAAGGGGTTGAGGCTCAAAACGTGACTGAGGAGAGGGAACACGATGTACCTCTCCGGCAGAACCTCCTCACTGGGTGTTTTCTGACTCATTTGTCGAGTTTATCGAGAAAAGATTTTTTTTTGTACTTCTGTCAGCAGCACTGCAGAGCTGGGGCTGGGCAAGGGCAGGGCTGGAGCTGGCCCTGGCCAAGCTTTCTGCCCATAACGAGCTGCACTAATTAAGAGAGAGAAGAGCAGTCTGAACCTCAGGGCTGGCAGAGGGCGTTTCCATGACAGAGAGCGCCAAGCTCATGGAAAGGGTGACATCAGGGGTGGCACCTGTAGGTGCTGCTCTCCGTGCCTGGTTCAGGAGGACAGTGCCAGTTAGCACCCCTTCAAACCACGGTTTGGCTTTGGACTGGAGGGACAGGGATTTCTTGGCAATTAAATATTGATTTTTAAGGAGCTGAGAATTGTGTTTCACCTTTTCATTGACACCCAGCTATGCAGAGGGCAGGGTTGGCTCACAAGTTGCATCACTTCAGGTGTCAAAGAAATCACTCCAGTGCAGAAAAACTGTTGGACAAACAGCTCAACAAAAAAAAAAAACCCACGTAGAAACATTTCTTCAGCTGCTGAAAACAGAATTTGACAGCATTATCAGGGCACGTGTAACACCCCACAGTCATTTCTGTTTCATGTGGTTGAGTTGGTTTTTGCAGCTCTTTTCCTGAAGGAGACCGGGTATTCCTGAGCCCACATATTGTTGCTGGATGCTGTTATTAAGGCTTAATTCTTCCTGATGAAAACTTCTAGGAGCATTTCTCTCACTCACGGTCTCTGGCTCTGGGGACCTGAGAAAAACCATTATCAGGCTCATATCTGAAACGATGGTTTACCTAAAGCTGCTGTGAAATAGGGGCGCTGACAAAGAATGTCAAACCCAAGCTGGGCTGTTGAGTATTATCAGAACTTCTTAGAGCACAAAAAGTGCCTTGAAAGGCACTATTGAAACTGCCCTATCACCCCCAGACACTTTACTGGAAACCTGATGTGAAACGTGAGCTGGGACCAGCCCTTGAGAGCGGATCAGAGCAGCTCGATGACAACTTCTTGAAGGATTTTTTTTTTTTTTTTTTAGGATGAAATGAATGATTTGAAATGAATTATCGGGGATTAATTAAGCTGGCTGAGGGCAGGCTCAGGAGTGCAGTAACTCCCAGCAGCACCACAGGGGATGGAGCAGGGCTGAGTTTCCCAACGCCACCAGCCGGGGGTGAGTCAGTGCCTTGTCCCCTCCGAGTGTCTGGTCCCTGTCACGCTCCAGGGCTCTCCAGAACCGTGTCCCGTGTTAGTCACTGCCCCAAGCCCCGTGTCTGCCGCAGCCCGGTGCTTTCTGTCGCCCTGGAGATGTTTTGTCACCACAACAGTGACGGTGACAGCGGTGCCGGGCGGGGCTGAGCATCGTCCCCGCGGCGCTGTGGGGATACCCCGAGCTCCAAAGGCTCTTTCTTCCCAGGGTTATTGTCCATCTTCTCTGGGGACATCCCGAGCTCCAAAGGCTCCTTCCTCCCAGGGTTATTCTCCATCTTCTCTGGGGACATCCCGAGCTCCAAAGGCTCCTTCCTCCCAGGGTTATTCTCCAGTTTCTCTGGGGACATCCCGAGCTCCAAAGGCCCTTTCCTTCCGGGGTTATTCTCCATCTTCTCTGGGGACATCCCGAGCTCCAAAGGCTCCTTCCTCACAGGGTTATTCTCCAGTTTCTCGGGACATCCTGAGCTCCAAAGGCTCCTTCCTCCCAGGGTTATTCTCTATCTTCTCTGGGGATATCCCGAGCTCCAAAGGCTCCTTCTTCCCAGGGTTATTGTCCATCTTCTCTGGGGATATCCCGAGCTCCAAAGGTTTCTTCCTCCCAGGGTTATTCTCCAGTTTCTCTGGGGATATCCCGAGCTCCAAAGGCTCCTTCCTCCCAGCATTATTCTCCAGCTCCTCTGGGGATATTCCCTCCCTGGTCCTGGCTCAGCCCCTTCTGTGTCTGTGTGATGTGGGATGCGCTGCTCGCCACTTTGCATAGATGATTTCTCAGACGAGTTAATGACACCCAGGGCTGAGTTTTAATTCCTGAGCACCAGGGCAGCTGGCTCACACTCTCTCTGCTGCCTTTGCTTGTTAGTTGGGCCATCACTAGCCTTGGAAAGCACTGTCACAACGTGCCTTCGATAAAACACGAGGGAGGAGCCCTCCCAGTTAGCTGGAAGAGTTCCTGGGGAGAGGAGCGCCTTCCCTGCCCCATTCCCAGCGCTGCAGTGCCCCAAAGGTTTAACTGTGCCCTGAGTGCCTGCGGGAATCACTTCCCATTTTACTGAGCTCATCTGCAGCGTCACAGGGCTGAGTTTCAGAAATCCCTGTTCCTTCTTTCCCTCTTCCTTCCCAGAGCAAAAGAGGGATGATTTGCTGTTTTATTGAGGGTGTTTTCATGCTGCTGGAGCTGGCAGGTTGACGAAAGCCTGGGGAGAGCCACGCTGGGAGAATTTGCTTCCATCTGGGTTTGGTCCAATGTGTGCTGATGGCTTCCAACTGCCAGAGGACAGGGATGGATGGGATTTTGGGAAGGAGTTCTTCCCTGTGAGAGTGGGGAGGCCCTGGCACAGGGTGCCCAGAGCAGCTGGGGCTGCCCCTGGATCCCTGGAAGTGTCCAAGGCCAGGTTGGACTGGGCTTGGAGCAGCCTGGGACAGTGGGAGGTGTCCCTGCCATGGGACATGAGATGGTCTGTGAGGTCCCTCCCAGCCCGAACCATTCTGGGAACCCTGCTGGTTCCACCCCCTCTGCCCTGAAATGAGAGGCCCTTGGACATCCCCCATGTCCAGCACTTGGGGTGCTCCAGCACCACCATTTCACACCAAGTAAAACCCCAAAACGAAAATCTCTCAGGGTTGTTCCCCACCCCAATGGGGTTTTCCTCCTCCTTGCCCTTGTGCTGAGGGTCCTGCTGTTTCTTTTGCTTTGCAGAAGGTCGGTGACAGAATAGACAGGCTGAGGGACACATCCAGAGACCTGTAGAAGGCTCTGGACTCCGATAATCCAACATTTCCCTCTTGCTCCTGTATCATCCCAGCATCTCTCCTCCACCTCCCCCACAGCCACGTCTCCTCCTTGCCTTCTGGCACTTGGCTGACCCATCCTGGGCGTCAGTTCAGTTACCAAAAGGAAAAAAAAGCCCGAAAGAAATCCTTTCATGTCATCTGCCATTTACATAATGAAGTAAGAACTCACTGCCTCTTCCATTGTTTCCTCACCCTGCTGGGTGTGCACCGGGCTCCCGGGAATTCTGCCACTTCCTCTGCTTCCAGCAAAACTTTTGCTGCAATTCCAGGCAGCAGCTGCAGGGATCTGGGGGAGGATTCACAGCCCAGACCCCTCCAACACCTCAGCCAGGGCAAATCCAACCTGCTGCAGCCTGGGCCCTGCCCTCTGGCTGCTTTCCAGCGGGGTGAGGGAGGCACGCTGGGCTCATCTGCGGCACTTCCAGCAACCCTGTGTGCAACAGCCTGACTAGCCTGGGCAGAAAATCCATTTGCCTAGTGACAGATCTCCGCTCAAGACCGAGCTTGGTTATCAATAAATTAATTAGTCACCCAGCAGATACGTGCAGGACAGCCCTGGCCCACAGGCACAAGGTACACCGGCATTGCAACAGGGACACGCTGGGGCTGCTGCTCCAGGAACCTGTTCCAGAGCATCCACCCCTCCTCTGGCATTAGAGGGGTGACTTTGCCACCCCAGCACCCTCCAAGTCCAGCTGGCCATTCGTCCTGGTCCCAGAAATTCCAGGGAGTTTATTTAGCTGCACGTTTTTGTTTGTAGACTGAATGAAGCTCTCTCCAAAGGGGCTGCAGGAACATCCAAACCAGCCTGGGAGCCAACAGCACAGGGGCCTGGGGTTTGCACCAGCACGGCCACATCCCTGTGATGTGACAGCGTGCCCCAGCTGACAAACCCTGCTTCCCTGGGGACAGCCTGGGCTGCAGTGCTGGGAGGAGAACGTCTCTGCTCCTTGGCTGCACCAGCTTTGCTCGGCAGGGAAAGCTCGTGGTGAGGAGGTCACGGATGTCACCGAGCCACTGCGCTGGGGGCTTGGGATGCTGTCAGTGGAATTTCTGTCCTTCTGCAGTGTGACAGATTTGGGCTGATCACCTGAATCCCCTCTGACCCTGGAAATCATTTCTTCTGCCAGCAGGATGGGAGCTGTGTCCTCCAAAACCCCTGACCTCGTGTTTCTGTGTGTCTCCAACACCACAGACACAGGATGGAGACGTGTCCAGGAATTGAGGAGATTTGGAACAGCATTCCCTGAACCTGGTAGGAGGATTCCTTGAATGTAGGACCAGGATTCCCTGAAAGTGGCAGAGGAAGGCCACTTTTGCCAGAACAATGATGGAGAAAACCCCGGACTTGAGTTTCACCACTTCTTGCAGGTCCATTGCCAGAAGTCCTGGAGTGCTGGGACCACTGGGGTGATGCCACTGAGCTTCCCACATCCCAACAGCTCTGTGAGGAGCTGGGAACGGCCCCTCTCCAGCAGGGGATTGCCAGCATTGCTCCATGTTGGGGCGTTTTGGGGATGTGACCCCAAGGACGGTCCCTAATTTTGGGAGTTCACATCCCTCTTCCCAAAAGAAAACCCACGCACTGATGCCAGAGTTCCCGCCTCCGTAGGTGAGGGAAACACCTGTGGGAGAGAGAGCTGGTCCCTTGCATGAGCTCATTAATTCAGCAAATTACAGAGGGAAATATGCGCTGGGAAAAGCAAGAAAAATCCCAAAAGTTAATCCAAGAGTTATTTCCTCCTGGTACCGGGATAAAAACGCCTCCTTCGGAGCGCTCCAGGCCAGATGTTGGTGAGAGAGGTGAACCCACACCAAAGAGCAAGGTAAGATACTGAATTTATCCCTTTGCTCTGTGTCCTTTTGGGTTTTCCCTTCTATTCCTATCTCTGAAATATTTTTTTAATTAGTAACCTTAATTTTCAGTGCTTACAAAACTTGTGTTTGACTTATGCTATTCCAGAGGGAAGCTGGTTTCTTTTGGGATAAGGTTTTGGGATCTGTAACTTTCAGTCAGTTACCTCCTGTTGCTTCTGTGTCATTAGACTTAAAAATTTAATTTCACTGTATTTATTTTCCTGATAACATCTTTTCAGAAGAACTGTTTATTTAGATGCATTTTTAACTGATATTTTATTTACTTTTCCTTTTCTTTTTGAGCTCTTCAGTTAAATATTTTATTATTTTTTTCTTGTTGATGGGGAGAAAAAAGAAGTGGGTAAGAGATAGTAATGAGTATGGGGCTTTTAATACAGATGTACAAGTTTTAAATAAAATATGTGTAGTTTCATATGGATCACAGTTGTGTTATTTAGGAAAATAAGGAGGAATATTCTCAGCTCTCCCAGGCAGCTGAAATGAGAGGATCCCCCCTGTTCCTCTGCGTCTTCTCCGTGTCCTGCTGGATGAATTTGATGCCCACAGCCGGGGACAGAATCTTCCACTTTGGAGCCTGCAGGGTTTCCATCAGCATGACAGAGATCAGGGCTGGCTTCACAGCAATTAAAGCCAATATTGTGAGTATTTGCCAGGCTCCTGGGGGTCTGGGGGAGCCCCTGGAGCCCCTCTGGAGCCAGCAGCTCCATGCCCATCTCCGTCCTCTCCGCAGCAATCCAGAGACCCCATCCGGACCCTGAGCATCCTGTCCCACCCTCACTCCCTCCACAAGGTCAAGGTAGGTGGCCCTGGCTGGGGAGCCCTCCTGGGATCCAAAAGCAGGTGAATGTGACCTTGAGAAGTGCAATCTATCATAAATCAGTAATTTTCAGCTTTCTCACACCCCAAAGCCCTGGGCAGGAGCCACTGTCTGGGTCTCAGCCTCTCACACCCAGCTGCAAAATCAGCTGGTTTTATTTTGTGAGACTTGCTGAGGATGAATCTCCTGGAAAATCAGCCTAAAATGATTTCCCATCTATTTTATCAGCTTCAATCAAGCACCACTGAAGAAGCTTTCTCTGAGTCAAACTGTCCTGCTGTGCTCAGCTACCACCAGTTTCCTGTCAGAGACGCTTTATCCCAGAGAGTGAGTGCAGGTTGCACACTTTGGAAGAACTTTTAATCATTAAATTAATTTTCTAAGTCTTCAGACAGATGCTGCATCACTTATCAGCTCTTCACCTTCTACGTGGACAAGGTTTTCAAGCACTGCAGGACCGAGGACTCGTTTGTGAACAGGAAAATCAGCAGCATTGCCAACTCCTTCCTCAGCACGAGGAGGAAGCTCGGGCAGTGTGTAAGTGCTGCCTTCTGCTCCAGTCTGCATTATTAATCTCTTAATATTTCATCTATAAACCAACCTGGGAGATTTATAAAGCTGCAAAGTCTCTATTTCTATTAATGGTTTTTAATGAGAATACGAAGCAGAGTGGTGTGAAGAGTGTTCTGTCCACTGAGAGATCTTTATAATTGCCCACTCACCAGCAAACTCTCCCGTTGGTCCTAAACCCAAAATTTATCCTGTCCTTGTGTCTGTCAAGGGAGCTAAAGCCTGATTTAGGGACCTGCAGCCTTTCCCACAGTTCCACAGTGTCTCAGTCTATGATACCCAGTGAAATCAGAAATTGAAATCTTATTTTTAAAAATTAACTACCCAGACTAATTAATTAATCTTGTTTTTCCAGCGTGAGCAGAATAATTGCCTGTGTGGGGAGGAATCCACGGAGAAATTCAAGCAAATACTTGCAAACTATGAAGGGGTGAGTTGGTGACTGAGCCTGCTAATTAGCACAGATATTTAAATTCTCTTTATGTTGCCTTGTACTGATGGTGTCTGCTTACAGCTCATTCCTTTCTGTATCATTTCAGCTGAATGTCACATCTGCAGCCATGAAATCCCTGGGGGAGCTGGACATCCTCCTGGACTGGATGGAGAAATCTCGTTAGCGGACGGCGTTAATTACCCACGGGCCGGTGCTGAGGAGCTGCAGGGGCTTTGCAGGGATGAGAGGGACAATAAATCACTGTATCAGTGCAGCTCCCCAGCAGTTCCAGCTGCATTCAGGCAAGCATGGAGAGCTTTGCCAGCCAGGGACATCAGCAGAGTCTTCATTAAAACAGAAATAACGAGTTTGATGAAATCAGCATCGCCCTTGCTGCTACCAAAGGATGCTCCCAGGGAAAACCCACAAGGGTTTCTCCTGCTGGCAGACATAAGCTGTGATCATGTCATAAAATTACTGTCTAAATTACAGATATTTTGTTTAGGGAATGTGGGGAATGAGCACTGAGAGCTGGCTGGGAGGACTCTGGTGTATAAACCTGGGCTCAGTCTCAGGGCTGTGCCACCGATGGATCTGGCTGAAATGAGAAGTACAGTGTGGGAAATGCTTCCAAGAACAGGTCCTAGCAGGTATGTCAGGCCTCAGAAACCTGTGTTTCCTTTTGAGATGATATTTTCTGCCTTATCAGTAAAAATGTTTCTGTGCAAGATATGTGGTTGCTGAATAGAAAAAGGTTCTTGAGTGTATTGAGCAATTTACTGACACTCAGTAGTGAGTTTTGTGGAAATTGGTTGTGATGACCATAAATAAACCCAACTTGAAACTGTGCTGAGTCTGTTTGTCAAAATTCTGAGGAATTATATGATTCTTGCTGGTGAAACTTTCTGAATTCTCTGTGGTGTCCTCTTACAGTAGATGCTGTCACTCCAGCATGCCAGGGCTGATGCATCCTCCTGGGCACACCAGAACCACCAAACTCAGACCTCAGTGCTGCTAAATCCCCTCAGTTTGTCCCCCAAACTGGGCATTATTTATAGCTCTGGTCTGTTCTCTCCCATTTTGGGTGTTTCTGGTCCCCACTGAGTGACCTAAATCCCAACTGGGGGACAGCACCAGCATTTCCCTGTGGCACAAGTGTCAGGCTGAGGTGACATTTGGTGATTCACTTTCAAAGGAAAGATCTCTGACTGCTCACTGTCCTCCCTCAGATATTTGCTGATGTCAAAGAAAAGCTTCTCAGGGCTTTGATTCTGTTAATTCACTTTCCCATGGGTTTCATTTGTCCCGGTGTCAGGGCACGGACAGGTGAACACATCTCACCATGCTCTGGCAGTGCTCAGGAGAGCTGATGGGTCAGCTCCATCACTCTTTCAGGAATGACAGGTCTGGGACATTCCACGATTCTCTGTTGAAGAACAACCCTTGGGAATGGTGCTGGGATGCAGTGAGGTGCCACAGCTCGTCCCTGGCTGGCAGGAAATCAGCTGGCAGCTGCTGAAGGAGCAGGAGCTGCTTGGTGAGTTCCTCATGGATCTGGATGACAGCTCGAGGGTTTTATCCCACACCTTCAGCTCATGTCACAATCATTACAGCTCACCCCATGCATCGAGCTCACCCTGTGGGCTCAGTCCATGCCTGCCTCAGTGCTTTCACCTAAACCAAGCATTTTACACTTCTGTCCCCACTGCAGGGCACGGCAGCAGCCCAGGGCCATCACCCACTTAGGAGGGTTAAATATCAGATACACAGGGCTCTACTCTTTGCTTCTAACAATATTCCTCCACCCAAAACCATTTCAATTCCAAAAAACTCCAAAAAAAGTGAGACTAATCCCCTTGCTGTTGGTGTCAGCCTCTCCTGCTCCTTACTGGCTTCATGTTTATTAAGATAAGAAGTTCCCTCAGGAGCAAGATCTCTGAACTTGGTCAGTTCTTCACCTGAAAGGTGCCAGATGTTGCCTAAACTAAATGATGCTACACATTGCAGTAGGAACAATTCATTAAGTGGCAGCAGTGGGAAGGAGAGGGGGCACAGCAGGCAGCTGAGGGCTGCAGGATGCTCAGCCCACCCCATCTCCAGCCCCTGCTCCTCTGCCCTGCCGCAGTTCAGCTCATCCCGGGGGCTCCCAGGGCAGCGAGGGAGGAGCGGAGCTGGGGAAAGGACGCCGTGGGGCAGGCTGAGGAGGAAGAGGATTGACAAAGGGAGAGAGAAAGGGGTTTTCTCCTCTCAGAAATTTCCAAACCCAAGCGTTCTCCTCCCGCTGCTGCCCGCCGGGGACGCTTTCCGGGCTCACGCCTTTCCTGCTGCACCTGAGTCAGGCATTCCCTCCCTTCCCGCGGCTCCGGGCGGGCGCGGGCCTGTCCCGGTCCCAGCACGAACATAACCCGGTCCCAGCACGGACATAACCCGGTCCCAGCACGGACCTGTCCCGGTCCCAGCACGGACATAACCCGGTCCCAGCACGGACATATCCCGGTCCCAGCATGGACATAACCCGGTCCCAGCACGGACATATCCCGGTCCCAGCACGGACATATCCCGGTCCCAGCACGGACTTGTCCCGGTCCCAGCACGGACCTGTCCCCGTCCCAGCACGGACATAACCCGGTCCCAGCACGGACCTGTCCCGGTCACAGCACGGATATATCCTGGTCCCAGCACGGACATATCCCTATCCCCTCCGGACCTGCTTCTGCCTCTTCCACAGACCTGTCCCAGCCCCTCACGGACCTGTCCCAGCCCCTCATGGACCTGTCCTGTCCCCTCACGGACCTGTCCCTGTCCCCTCACGGACCTGTCCCTGTCCCCTCACGGACCTGTCCTGTCCCCTCACGGACCTGTCCCTGTCCCCTCACGGACCTGTCCTGTCCCCTCACGGACCTGTCCCTGTCCCCTCACGGACCTGTCCTGTCCCCTCATGGACCTGTCCCGGTCCCTTTCACAGACCTGTCCCAGCCCCTCACGGACCTGTCTCGGCCCCTCATGGACCTGTCCTGTCCCCTCACAGACCTGTCCTGGCCCCTCACGGACCTGTCCTGTCCCCTCACGGACCTGTCCTGTCCCCTCACGGACCTGTCCCGGTCCCTTTCACGGACCTGTCCCGGTCCCTTTCACGGACCTGTCCTGTCCCCTCACGGACCTGTCCCGGCCCCTCCATTCCTGTGTCGGCCTCTTTCATGGACTTGGCCCAGCTCCTTCCATGGACCTGTCCCGGCCCCTTTCACAGACCTGTCCCTGTCCCCTCACGGACCTGTCCCAGTCCTTTCACGGACCTGTCCCAACCCCTCATGGACCTGTCCCAGCCTCTTTCAGGACCTATCCTGGCTCCTTTCATGGACCTGTCCCGGCCTCTCACGGACGTGTCCCAGCCACTTTCATGGACTTGTCCCGACCCCTTCATTCCTGTCCCAGCCCCTCACAGACCTGTCCCAATCCCATAACGGACCTGTCCCGACCCCTCCGGACCTGTCCCGGCCCGTCCACGCCTGTCCCGAGACCCAAACCCCTTCCACAGCGCAGCTGAGGGGATGCAGCCCCGGCGATGCGGCAGGTGAGCCCTCCCTCCTTCCCTTTGAGCGCTGGCAGGAAGGTGCAAGGTGGATGTGAGAGCTGGTGAGCAGGAAGGAGATGCTGCCCTGCTCATCCCAGCACTGAAAGTCCACAAGTCAGGGATTATTTGTGTTTCATCCTCAGGGAAATTCTGGAATGCACAATTCAGAAATAATTTGTGTTTATCCTCAGTGTAATTCAGTGTCGGCCAGATGACCCAGCCTGCCATTGTCACCTCTTCCTACACTGCTTTATCTGTAGAATACTCAACTTTTCCCACCCTTTCTGCACCTCTCTGGGTGGGCTCTCCTGTGATAACCCACAGATCCTGAGTTCCCCAGTCTGCTGAAAGCCACTGGATTCTTTATTGCTTGCGCACACAAACACTCCAGACATGTCTGGCCTGCAGGTGTTGCACTCAGGTCAGGGAAGCTTAGGGGAATCAAAAGCATCAGATGCTGTTCTAAAGGGTTTTCCAGCTGCCTTTAAAAGAAAATGGGATTTTTTTTTTTTTCCCCACAATGCTCCTTCTGGCCTCTGAGAGCCCAGTGTAGGAACTGGGGCTGCTGGTCAGGTGAGCCACTCGAGTTCCTGCTGTTTTCCAGCACAACCTCCTCACTCAGACCTGCCCCCCTTGGCATGCAACCATTCCTCCTAAATCACCACTCGAAGCTGAATTTAAGCAAAAAACCAGGTGAAGCTATAGCAAATTGTGGGAGCAATGAGCAGTGTTTGCTGACACTGTGATCCTCAAGGTAGGGCCAGTCCCAGGCGCTGCCACCTCCCCTCAGTCCCGGTGCTGGGGTGGGGACGGGTCCAGGACAGCGCTGTCCCCTCCGGAGCTGCCCTGGGCGATGCTGCTGGAGGTGACCAGGAAGGAGGAGTAGGCAAGGTCAGCGTCCTCCTTGGAGCTCTGGGAAGGACAGGAGGACACAGTCAGGGGATGGGCAGCAGGGAAAGGCAGCACTTTGTGGATATCCCAGGATAAAACAGGGACACTGCAGGGGTGGGACAATCCAGCGGCTCACACTGGTGCTGATGTGAGTATCAGCCTGGGGAGACCGCAAAAGCTTTTAGGTTTGGGATTCCTCGGCAAGCCTGTCCGTGGGTGTTGGCATGCAGCTCCCCTGTCCTAAAGCTGCTGGGCTTTAATGGTGTCCTGACAGTTTCCTTGATTGCTCCAGTTCAGTTCCTGGCACTTACAGCACCCACGCCTCTCCTGTTGGTAGGGACTTAGAAAAGCACAGGCTTGAATCTGGCACTGCAGCTACTGCCAAATGGGGCCTCTGCACCATGATCTTACCCAAGGGCAGGGGAGGGGAGGCAGAAAAAATTAGGGAAAGGCAGAGGTCACAGCAAATCTCAGCCTTTGCAATGGCAGAGCCCGCTGTGCCCCCTGAACTACTGAGAAGTGGGATATGGTGGTTTCCAGCCATCTGCTTATCCCAATGATTCATATTTATGATAACAAACTCAATCTTTCTGACGCTGCCTGGGGATGCCTTGGTTTATTTCTTGAAGCAAAGTGGCTGCTGTTAATGTCTCTGCTAAAACAGGGAGTGAGGACAGGGGTAAGACCCCCCTACTCAAGGGGACTGGTCTGCAGCGGGGGCTGGATCTGGGTAAAATGGAGAGCACCCGTTATAAATAAAGTCCCTGGGAGGAGAGAGCCCCTCTGGGGCAGAGTGCAGGGCTGTGGCCACATCTCCCAGGTCAGTGGCCTCTCTCCTGCCTCCCCTTACCCTTTTTGCCTTTGTTGTGTCGGCAGCACTTTCCGGAGTGTCCGTGGTGGTGATGAACTCTGCAGGCAGAGAAAGGAAGGTGTTGGGGAGGGGCAGTGGCTGGCAGGTGTTTCTGTGGCTTTTGTGGGGTATTTCAGCAAAGAAGGGCTGCCCCCGACCCCGGGGCTGGGCTGGGGATAGCCACTCACCGTCCCCTCCCATGGGGGTCTCCTGGCTCTCCTTCACACAGTTGCTGGCACTGAAGTCCCTCACGCTCTCAAAGTCTGACATGCTGATGTTCGTCCTGTAGCTCCCCACGGACACCAGGTCTGGTGAGAGGGAGGAGGAAAATCCCTCAGGTCTCGCTCAGAGTGGGTGAGAGCACATTACAACCCAAACCCTCTGTGCCAGGTGATGCTGTGGCACCATGGGCAAAGCCCACAGAGGGCTGGGCTCTGTCCCAGACTGGATACCCTGAGAGATGGAGCTCTGTGGGTGGGTCAATGTGAGGAGCAGGGGGTTGGAGCTCAGTGGATGGGTCACAGGAGGAGCAGGGGGTTGGAGCTCTGTGGGTGGGTCAGTGTGAGGAGCAGGGGGTTGGAGCTCTGTGGGTGGGTCAGTGTGAGGAGCAGGGGGTTGGAGATCTCTGGATGGGTCAGTGTGAGGAGCAGGGGGTTGGAGATCTCTGGGTGGGTCACAGGAGGAGCAGGGGGTTGGAGCTCTCTGGATGGGTCACAGGAGGAGCAGGGGGTTGGAGATCTCTGGGTGGGTCACAGGAGGAGCAGGGGGTTGGAGATCTCTGGGTGGGTCACAGGAGGAACAAGGACCTTCCTGCCCATCCCGGTGTGGTACCAGGAGAGCAGCTCAGCCCAGCACCTTTAACTCAATGCTGCTGCTCTTCCTTGAGAGGCCAGAGTGGCAGGGACTCACCAGATCTCTTCATCTGTCTGTATTTGACAATGGCAAAAGCTGTCACGACAAGCAGGATCAGGCCAGCAAGAGGGCCCAGCACTAAGCCCAGAGTGTTGGAGCCATGGCTTTCATCAGAGCTGGAACAGAGGGAGAAAGATCTCACTGAGAATGATGCACATGAAAATCCAGCAGGCTAAATTTGGGTAGGATGGTGATTCTGAGTGAGCATGATGCAATTCAATCAATTAACTGGATTCCAGCACACAGAATAAAACAAAACCCAAATAAAAATATAGGCTTGAGGTTGGGCTGAAACAGCTACATCAGCAGCTGGGTTATAAATATGTGAAGGAAAATTCTCTGGTATTAACAGAAGTGCTTTCAAACTGTTATTTTGTACCTGGAATTTCTAATAATTTCCTTCTGATACTATTTTATTGAATTGGAGATTAGTTGTGACTCATCTTGCCCTTTGCTGTCACTTTTTATCTTCTCTGACATTTAAAGCAAAGTTCTTTGGGGACAAGATTTTTTTGTGTGTTGCTAAACAACACACAAAGGGTGTACAAACACAACGAATTCATATAAACCCCACAAAAATGATAAAAGGCAGGGGATGGAGAGAACCAACCTTTCTGGGGCAGCTCCTTTTCGCACCTCAGCATCGCTGTGGGCTCCTCCTGGGGGAGCAGCTCCAGGGTCACGGCTGGAATCAACATCCAGGAACTCCGGGCTGAGCTTGGCATCGCTCCCTGTGTGTCCAGGGAAGGAGCGGGGTGAGAGAGCAGCAGCATGAGAGCCGGACACACAAACTGCTGGGATGTGTTTGGTGGACATGGAGCTGCTGGGGTTTTTTCTCTCCATGAGAGGCTCTTCAAAAGGAGGGTTTGAGGCCTGAAATGCTCTCACACCAAATAATTTACTGCAAAAATCTCAAGTAGGTTCTCTCTGCCTATGAACTTTTGAAAAAGTCTTGCATTTCTAAGTTCTGTCTCTAATGTTTCCAGATCAAATCTTGCCTCTTTGCTTTGCTTTTTTATTCCTGGCTCTTTGCCCACCAAAAGCAATGACATTTTTGACCCTGTTTTCATTTTGGCCATCACCCACTTAAGATGGGTAAATATCAGATAACCAGAGCTCTATTCTTTGTTTCTAACAATTTTCCTCCCCAGAAAACCTTTTCAATTCCAAAATACTCCACCAAAGCTGAGACTAAGCCCCTTGCTGTTGGTGTCAGCCTCTCCTGCTCCTCACTGGCTCCATTTTATTAAGATAAGAAGTTCCCTGGAGCAAAATCTCTGAACTTGATTAGTTCTTCACCTGAAATGTGCCAGATGTTGCCTAAACTAAATAAATGTATTATGAAATAAATAAAATATAATAAATTATTATAATAGTATAGATTCTATAATTATAAAATAATAACTATTATTAGTGAATGATAATATAATAATGCTTATACATAATTAATTACATACTTATAATTATAGATTATTTTATTTAAATTAATTATATAATAAGTATGTATTATGTATTATATATTATATATTATATATTATGTATTATGTATTATGTATTATATATTATATATTATATATTATATATTATATATTATATATTATATATTATATATTATATATTATATATTATATATTATATATTATATATTATATATTATATATTATATATTATATATTATATACGATATATTATATATTATCTATGATATATTATATAGTATATAGTATATAGTACATAGTATATAGTACATAGTATATAGTATATAGTATATAGTACATAGTATAAATTATATATTATGCACTATATAGTATATAGTATGTAGTATATAGTATAAATTATATATTATGCAGTATATAGTATATAGTATGTAGTATATAGTATATGATATATATTATATAGTATATAGTATATAATATAAATTATAGATTATAGATTATAAATTATATATTAATTATATATTCTATTATATATATAATAGAATAGAATAGTATATAATATATAATAATATTATAAGTATTATTAATTATTAAGAATAAAAATATTATAAAATAAAATATTACATTGTAATAGGAAAAATTCATCAGCACAAGGTTAAAGGTAAAACTGCTGTGGCAAGCGGTGAGTTTTAGACTGAAAGAGGTTTTTCATGAGTGGGAAGTGCAAAGGGAGAGAAGGAAAGCCCTGAAGGCAAAGCGCAGCGCAGGCGGTGCTGTGCCCCGGCCGGGAGGTGCGGACTGCCGGTGCCCCCCGGCGCACCAGCCCTGCCCGGAGCTCACCTGCGCTCAGCCGCAGCTGCACGGCCATGGTTTCCCCGAAGAGCCCGTTGCGCTTCAGCCCGCACCAGTACCATCCTTCATCCTCCTCGGCCAGCGGGCCCAGGCTCAGCACCAGCGTCCTGCTGGACGGGCCACAGGTGTCCCCCGGCTGCGGCAGCCCCGGCTGCGCCGGCAGCATGGCACAGCCGGTGCCGTTCCACCTGCACCAGAACTTCTCGTAGGAGGAATACGTGCAGGGGTAGCAGCAGGTTAAATTCACCCACGAGCCCACTCGTGCCTCCACCTCCTTCTTTCCCGTCAGCGCAGGTTGTCCTGCAAGGCAAACAGGACATCAGAGCTGCTGGGAGAGGTGTCAGGGGTGGCAGTCAGCACCTCAGACAGAGCTTGGAGGGAAAGTGTTCCTTGAGTTGCTAAATTAAAATTAAAGGTGCTGTTTGTGGTTCTTTTCTTGCGAGACTTAAGAAATACTTCATGAGAATTTTCTGTGAGCGCATTCCCACAAAACTGAAACTTTCTGGCACAGTTTTAAAGCTGGGGGTGAGTTCAGGCTCGGAGCTCACATCTCTTCCCCAAAAGCCAGGTTGCTCACTTGGGGTGGTTCTGTGCCTCCTGGGCAGGCAGAGAACTGCCAGTGCATGGCTCTTACCTGCTACAACCCTCAGTTCTGCTGATGATTGCTGCTCCCTCAGCTCGTTTGACATGCACCAGTAAAAGCCCTCATCCTCGTACTGCAGCTGGTTCAGGATGATAGCGACAGTTTTGTTTTCAGGGTTCTCAAACGCGGCCACTCTTCCTTTATACTTTTTTGCCACAAAGCCACTGTTGTCTATGATCCTGTTACATATCCTGCCATCCCGCTTGCACCAGAACCTCGTGGCGGAATCAATTAGAGGCTCATAGGGGCACTCAAAGGTTGCTGAACTTCCATTTTTTGCAGTTATGTCGGTCTTCAAGTGAGGGAAAGTTTTGTCTGTTGGTAAGAATGAAATGAGCAGTTATAAGAGTCTCACTTGTGTCCATGGGGCTCCCTCCCAAGAAAATCAATATTATCAGCTGCTACAGCTAAAGGAAGGTCAGGCAAAGCTCAGGGGGGCAAACATCAGGAGATTGTCCTGGCACTGGTGGGAATTCATCCTAAAGGGTCAGTCAGACCTTGCTTTTTTCCCAAATTTGCTGAGTGTTGTTGGCTTTGTGCACAGATATTCCAAAGCTGTTTTCCCTTTGCTAGAGGGACCATCTACCTCTGTCAGTTTGAGATTTAAGGAGCTGGGGGCTTGAAGAGACAGCTTGATTCCCTCAGACTGGGGGAGTGGAATTTGTCTGCATGATTTCTGGGCTGGGGAACAGAGCTATCCACTTCTGGGAAGGTGAAGTCTGGACACAAGCTTTATTTGGTGATGGTTTAGCACATTACAGGTGGTTAAATGAATAAAAAGAAGTCTGTAGATGAGAAAATAGGATAATAGCAAAGAGAAATTCAAATCCTTGCTAAATAAAATGACAGTGCTGGTGATGCTTCTGAAAAGCAGGAGAGAGGAAGGGGAAAACAGCTCACCCTCGTAGATAAACACCTCCAGTTCCTTGCTTGTTTTGTCCTTCCCATATTCACCGGCCCCGCAGTAGTACACGCCTGCATCTTCCCAGTCCATCTGAGTCATGGTGACACGGAACGAGCCTGGAGGCTCCTCAAAAGTCAGCTGAATGCTGCCCAACTCCTGATAGCTGTTAATAATGTTCCGGCAGCCTTCCTTCTCCTTCTTGCACAGGTATTTCTTCATCTCGACAGTGTCCTCCCCAAAGCTGCAGGTCACGGTCCAGGTGCTGCGGAGCTTCACGTAGAAGAGCTCAGGTGTCTCAGGAACAGGTGGGGCTGTGCACAGAGACAGTCAGGGGCTGAAATGAGCCCTCCCTGAAAGCATCTGCAGCTCTCTCTGTTCATAAATAATATATCCACTAGCGCGTACAGCTAAAATTTTTGTGTGCGCATGGGTTTAAAGCAAATACAGCAACATATAAAATACAAATTAAATTGATGCCCACTGTACTTGTAACACAGCCAAATTCTTAATATTGTATAGTGCATATTCCATTAAATAAATAACTAAATTAATCTATGCTACAACATGTGTATACATACACATTTTATTATGCCTGTAAATAACATTTTAAAGCCTGTTCACACATCAAAAGACAGGTTGTTTATTTCTCTGTTAGAACAATCCAAGGATTTAACTCTTCCTGTTATGTAAACAGTGGTGACAGATGCTTTCAAGGAAGCTTAACTTCAATAAAAATAATAGTTTCCCATTTTAAAATCAATGGTGATATACCATAAATCCCCCAATGAATTCTGGCTTCTTGTGTATTAGGGGCACAGCACTACTCTAGATATCAGAATATAATAATATGGCAATAGATATAGATATAGATAAATATTTAAATGGTAAAACACACCGGAGAGGCCAGCGGTGGAGCTTTGCTTAAGAGGGAGAGGGGGGGAAAACGCAAAGAAAATGATATTTTAGGGAGTCCCAAGGCTGTAATTACCTTCAACAACACTGAGGGTGACTCTGTAGGACAGCCCTCTGCCATTGACCCCCACGCCACACTGGTAGGTGCCGGCATCCCCCAGCTCCAGCGCCGAGATGTTGATCTGGAAGTGCTCTGCCTGCGGGTGGTCGGTGAGGGCGACCCTGCCCTGGTAGGCAGGAGCCACGTACTGGGTGGACACCACGGTGGGACAGCCGGAGCCCGCCTGCCTGCACCAGTACTTCCTGTCGTGTCTGTTCACCGGCGTGGGTGGGTAGAAGCATCTCACGGTGACCGAGCCGCCCAGCACGCCGTAGACCTGCCGGGGGCCGAACACGGGGCTGGAGACTGTGGGGAGAACAGGCTGGGCTCAGTGCCCTGTCACTACAGGACACGTGAAAGCACAACTGCTATTTGCAAGGTAAAGAAGAAGGAGGTTTATTCTCTGACTCCAACTTTTATACTTTTCCGAAGGTGACAGTGGATTGGAGAATGAATGGGCCACCTCTCCAAAGACATTGGACGAACTACTAGTACATCAAGTTTCTCCACCCCTATGAAGGAATGCAAAACAATTTGTTGCTTATAGAAAATTGTGTGAGTGTGGGACTCTGATTCAGTCTAAGAAAGAAACCGAGAGTTTCTAGCCAGGCAGAAGTCTGGGAAAGAGCTGGAGAAGAATGTAAATAATTCTTTATCTCTCTTTTTTTTCACATTGTTTATTGTTAAGTGCTATCACTGTGCATCAAGCACTGTACACCAATGGTGTGAATTGTTTTCACTTCAGGACCAATGAATTTGGTCCTCACAAAGCTCTGTATAAAAGAGCGGCGTATTTTGAATAAATCGGAGTTTTACTCTCAGCAACCTTCTGATCTGGGTCTCTTCATTCCCATCCTGCCTCGACAGCGACATCTGAGAAAGTTTTCTAACAGAATGTAAACTCAGAAGGCTTTAGAAATCCCCATGATGCCTTCAGATTTTAGCTTTTCTATTTTTCAGATCCTGTACAGCGCTGCTGTACTCTGAGCTCCGCATGGAGTGTTAGAAACTCTCTTCACATTGTGGTCAGATAAAACAATCCCTCTGGGCCTGCAGCTTAAGGACACCCTCTGCCTCAGCCCCCAAAAGTATAAACAAAAGTGAATTTTGGGGGAGCAAACTGGGAGTATCTGCCTTCATTACCTGAAGCTGGAATTGCAGAATTAACCCCGGATGTGCAAATGGACCAAACTTATTTCAGTCTGAGAAACTCCTGACCATTGTCCATTTTGGGTGTAGCCTCATGGGAGGCTTTGTCTGCCCTCAATGCACCTGAAGGCCCTTCATTAAATACAACCACTTTTATCTTTTTAACTTTACCTTTTTATCTTTCTAAGCCTGTTGCAGACCAGACCCAGACCCTCCTCCCTCCCCAGTGCCACCTCTGGTCCTTGGCCACCCCAAAACCTGTGCCCCAGGCAGGTGACACCCACTGGCTGCCGCGGGGAGGTGTCTGCCTCTTGCAGATTCAGCTGGGACCAAGGCGAGCAGGAGGAGGAACGCCAGCAAAGTCATTTTTCTTGCATTCCCTGGAAAAGACATGGAAGATCTTGAATAATCACATTTGCAAAATGTTAATCATCTAATAATCTTAGTGCTTGGAGGATATGAAGGTTGTGGCTATGTGAAGTTTGGAAAAATATGGTTTTTAATTTCTCCTGTCGAGGAATTGGATGGGAAATAGGAAGTTGATGTCTCTGTTCTTGCCTGGGTTGCTGCCCAGGAACAGGATTGCCCGTGGATCCCAGCACCCTAATATTCCCTGTGTCACAGAATTCCTGACTGGAGCCTGTATTTACTGACTCTCTTTGTTTCCCTGGTACACACAAAAGAGAAAAAGGATGATATTTTCCCTTCTACTTTTTAGTTCTTTTAGCAGCTGCCAAGGAATTGAGCGAGCTGTAGGGATTTACCTCAGCTCTGCTCCTCCAAAAATCAGATTTTATATGCATTTCCTGAGCACACCTCTTGATCCACCTGCCTGTGCTGATGAGGGGTGCCAAGGAAAAGCCTTATAAACAATCAGAGGAATTTGATTTCAGGGCATCAAGTGACACAGTTTTATTAAGGGTAATTCCCGGCAGAAGAAAAAAAACTTTTATTTCCCTGTTAAGATGAAAGGTGCTCTGTTGTGCCTCTTCCTTGTGTTGTGATTTCTCCATGCTCAATGGCCACTTGTCCATGGCTAATAATTAACTCACTGAGCATGAAAAATTCTCTTTCAAACACATCCCAGAAGTAGCCAGCAAGGCAAACATAACAAATTCTGCAGAAAGCAAACAACGTGGCACAAAGAGGGCCTTGATGTTTGCCCCTGGCTGACAGCAGCTCCTCTGCCTGATGGTCACCTCACTGCCCTCCAGCCTGTGATGCAAGCAGGACCCAGCTCAGCCTTGCCCATTTTGGCAAAGCTGAAATAACCTCTTATTCTGATTTCTTCAAAAAGTTCAGCTGGTTTTGGGGTACAGCCCATGTTGTTCTGTCAGGTCTGGAAGGGTTACCAAGATCTCTGCCCACCCGAACCAGCAGCTCCTGTGCTCTTGCACCACCAACACCGACAGCTCTGAGCTATCTCCAGCCCTGTTTTCTCAGATGCTGTTAAAATGTAAATGGAAAAATTACACCATAATGACCTTTCCTCTTGCTTTCTGACTCAGGACAGATAATTTTGTTGTTGTTGTTGTTGTTGTTGTTGTCTTCATGTGGTTCTGAGAATCAATAACACTCTCTCTTTTGATTTAGTGCTGGGCTCTAAACCTCACTGCAGCTCCATTCGGTGACAAGGACATTTTAGTGCTGTGTGTAAAGCCCTGGGGAGGGCAGACCCCCCTCAGTCAGTCCCTCTTTATAGATGTGTTTTTAGTGTTTTTACCCTTAAAACTTGCTGATGGTCATTTCCAGGACACTTCTGTGGACCTGGGTTGGGACCATCACCTTCCCTTCCAGCACTATTTTATGCCTACATGTTAGTATTTTCCCGGTTTCCAGCAGCAGTGCTTTATGGCCAGGCTGGCTCTCCCAAATCTCATCCACTACAAGACTTTCCCCATGTTTCTGTTGTGCTTTTGGGATCCTGTCAGTCCTAAGGAGAATTATCTTCAGATCTATGATGATTTGGAAGAGACCAGGGCCTGACCCCCTGGCTGTGCAAACCTGAACCTGCAGCTGCTCTGTCTGGCTGTGGAACACCAGAGTTCAATTCCCAAATTCTGCTGAATTCCTGCTGCAGGGATTGCCAGGGATCAGCCCAGTCCAGCCCATTAGATATTAACTACTGCTCCTGACAATGACCAGTGTCAAGGCTGTGCCATGGGATGGGCAAAACATGAAGGTTTAATTGTGACATTTGTCACTCCAGCCTGGGATCCCTTCTGGCTTTTTGTGGAATGTTTGCTGCTATTCAAATACATGAGAGATAATAACATAGATGTAATATATTGTATATATTCTATATATTTTTATATATAGGTAATATTTTCCCCCTCAAATCCTTTTGACGCATGGGGAAACTGTGCAGATGCAAATTGTTGTAGAGAGAGTTGTGCTGTGAGGAGGTGCTGGAGGCTTCTGCACCCAGAAAAAGGGCACAGCAACAAATTTCATCCTGGGTTATTCACATCTTCAGCTGCTCATCAAGGTCACTGCTGATCTTGCCTTGCCATGGGTTTTATTGGCTGCAGTGGAATGGGGAAAAGCCACCAATCCACCCCATTTCCATGGGGTTAAGAATGAGTAATCAACTTCCAGATATAAGATCGAGCTGACCCAAACACGTGCAGAAAACAAACTTTTCCAGTTCCAAGCAGATGCCTCATTTACAATACTAAGAGAAGAAATAAGAGGAGCTCATTTGGTGATCCAGTGAGCAGAAACACTTAGGTAGAACTTGCTGAAGATTATCAGGATTTACCAAGAAATCAGCAGCTTTTAGGCGTGCTTGGGACTCTCTGGACTAAGAATGTTTGTGTCAGTTAAACATATGAGCAACATATTTCAGAAAAGAAATAAGATAGAATAAGCAGGCAGCTCTCATGGCAGTGACTGAAATCCCAGCTGAGGTTGTGCTGCTCCATTTTATGTTCATTTCAGATGTTGGATCCATTCTACACTAACCTGAGACCTGATTTTATGTTCCTTTCAGATCCTCCATGCACCCACCTGTTGCTTTTCAGATCAGACCTTCATGGGTCATTTGTTTCTTGGGCTGGAAAGTGAAACCAACTTCAGCACTAGTAAATTATTTCAGTTTAATTCTCCTCTGCTTGCAAGGGGCAGGAACTTGCCACGGCCCAAGAGCACATGTTCACCTCAGTCTGGAGGGATGGATGGTGCCACTGAGGATTCATTAACAATTGCAGTTAGGTGATGTTTATTTGTACTTCAGAAATGTATTAAATCTATAGGAATGTTCCCTCTGCAGAGCAGGGATTCAGGTGTGTAGGACCCACACCTTCACAGGTCTGAGTAGGACAGGGCTCTGCCAGGCTCCTCTGATTGCACTTTTAGGACACCACATCCAGTGCATTCATTGAAGCTTCAGGTTCTACTTATCCTCCTGTAACTGTACAAACTTCTCAGGGAACTTCTAAAGCAGTTCCTTTAGGACACAACTGCAGCAATTCTCTTCTAAAATTTCAAAATCTGCCTGTTGGGGTTCAAAAGCCAGTAACAACCTCAGGCTGAGTGCAAAATTTAGATTGCTACAGTAATAATTGCTAACTTTTATTTCGTATGTTAAAACTTAATGCAAATATTGTAACAATAATTAATGTTGGGTATTTTTTTCAGAAATTAAATATTAAAAATCTGCTGCAGAAAAGAAACCATAACTGCCTCAAGCCTGTTCTCATGGTTCTTTCAGAAGAAATCAGCCTCCCACCAATGAGCTCTGAACATGAAATGGCTCCAAATCGCTGCTTCCCTCCCATGTGAAGAAGGCTCCTCAAAAGTGGCTCAAGACTCATGTTCTTCTCCTTCCCCATCCCAGCACGGCCCTACAAAAGGTTGTGCACTCCCAAAGATGCCAAAGCAGCGTTACTTACACTCCAGGCTCCTCCTGGCACTTCTGTCTTTCCCTCTCAGGCCAGCCCAGGAGCTGCTGTGAGTGTCCTGTGTCCCCGTGGGGCTGTGGCAGTGCCAGCCTGCTTTAAATACTCCCTGCACCTTCAGCCCTGCGTGTCCACCTGTTGTGCCTTAAAGGAACAACATCCAGCAGCGCTGCCAGGTGAGCTCTGCCCACTCGGGGCTGGGAGCCAAAGCCCAGCCAAAGCCCAGCCAAAGCCCAGCCAAAGCCCAGCCAAAGCCCAGCCCAAGCTCAGCCCAAGCCCAGGCACTGACCAGCCAAAGCCCAGCCACTGTTCAGCCAAATCCCAGCCAAAGCCCAGCCCAAGCCCAGACAAAGCCCAGCCACTGTTCAGCTAAAGCCCAGCCCAAGCTCAGCCCAAGCCCAGACAAAGCCCAGCCAGTGCCCAGCCTCTGACCAACCATTGCCTGGCCAATGCCCAGCCACTGTCCAGCCCAAGCCCAGCCAAATCCCAGCTAAAGCCCAGCCACTGTTCAGCTAAAGCTCAGCCAAAGCCCAGCCCAGGTTCAGCCACTGACCAACCATTGCCCGGCCAATGCCCAACCCAAGCCCAGCCAAAGCCCAGCCAAAGCCCGGCCAATGCCCAACTATTGCCCGGCCAGTGCCAGCCACTGTCCAGCCAAAGCCTGGCCAAAGCCCAGCCCAAGTCCAGCCCAAGCCCAGCCAAAGCCCAGCCAAAGCCCAGCCAAAGCCCAGCCACTGTTCAGCTAAAGCCCAGCCCATGTCCAGCCACTGTCCAGCCAAGCTCAGCAAATGCCTGGCCAATGCCCAGCCCAAGCTCAGCTCAAGCCCAGCCCATGCCCAGCCCAAGCCCAGCCACTGTCTGGCCAAAGCCCAGCCCAAACCCAGCCCATGCCCAGCCCAAGCCCAGCCCAAGTTCAGCCAAAGCCCAGCCACTGTCCAGCCCAAGCCCAGGCCAAGCTCAGCCCAAGCCCAGACAAAGCCCAGCCAGTGCCCAGCCCATGCCCAGCCAATGCCTGGCCAAAGCCTGGTCAATACCTGGCCAATGCCCAGCCACTGACCAACCATTGCCTGGCCAAAGCCCAACCCATGCTCAGCCAAAGCCCAGCCCAAGCCCAGCCACTGCCCAGCCCAAGCCCAACCAAAGCCCAGCCAAAGCCCAGCCCAAGTCCAGCCAAAGCCCAGCCCAAGTCCAGCAAAAGCCCAGCCACTCTCTGACCAAACCCCAACCAAAGCCCAGCCCAAGTCAAACCAAAGCTCAGCCCAAGCCCAGCCCATGCCCAGCCCAAGCCCAGCTACTGCCCAGCCAATGCCTGACCACTGCCCAGCCCAGCTCTGCTGGCCCTCCAGGGTGTCCCCTCCTGATCACAGCCACCCCAGGGCTGGGGGACTCCCAGGAAATGTCCAGGGCTCCTCCTTCTCCTTTGGAAAGGAGCTTGGTGGCTCCATGGGGTCAAGTCCATGGAGAGTCTTTTGGGTACCTCTGTGCCAGCTTTTTGCCTGGGCAGGACCCGAGCAGCCAGGGCAGCTGTGATTCCTTGCTTTGCCTCATTTTAATGATGCAACAGCAGGAATTCCTTCTGACTGGGAGCTTTTCTCATCCACTCAGTGAAAACTGATGTGTTTGAAGAGGATGGCAGCTCCTGCAGTGCCTGGGAGCAGCAAGAGCCTGACCCAGAATTGGGATCTTCAACAGATTTGTCAGATCCTAAAGCCAGCTTTGGAAGTACCTTTCATTTAGGTGAGGGTGTTGAGCTCAATTTTTAATATGAATGAGCAGCTTTTGGGGTGAGAAAGGAGTTTTTGGGGTGATGAAGGAGCTCTTGGGGAGAGGAAGGAGCTTTTGGGGAGATGAAGGAGCTCTTGGGGTGAGAAAGGATCTCTTGGGGTGAGGAAGGAGCTTTTAGGGTGATGAAGGAGATCTTGGGGTGAAGCTTTTGGGGTGAGGGAAGAGCTCTTGGGGTGAGAAAGGAGCTCTTGGGATGATGAAGGAGCTTTTGGGGTGATGAAGGAGATCTGGGGATGATGAAGGAGCTTTTGTGGTGAGTAAGGAGCTTTTGGGCTGATGAAGGAACTCTTGGGGTGAGGAAGGAGCTCTTGGGATGAGGAAGGAGCTCTTGGCTGTTGCTGTGCTTGGTGGGGATCTTGGCCTGAGAGAGCAGCCACCACCACCTCTCCTCGATGGGAACAAACCCTGATCCACTCCAAGCTTCCCACCAGTGCTGCTGCTTCCCTGGGCATCCCAAACATTCCCCAGGTAGTGCTGGCAGGACTTTCTTTGCCTGGTGGCCACCAGCTGTGCTGGCTGGGCCACGGTGGACACAGTTGTGTTTGCTCTCCTGGAGCTCCCACTCTCCCAGGCCCGGATCCCTCGGGATCAGCTGCCCTGCTGGATCCTGCAGAGGGATGGAAATGTGTTTTTAAGACCTTGCAGAGGAAGGTGGGATGGCCATGGGCAGAGGAAAACCTGGCAGAAATATGGGAACCTTTACGTGCTGGAGGATCTAAAGGAGAAAAAATTAATCCACAGTGAATGAAGAGGTTTTTTTAACCAAACCTCCCTTTTCGCCCTCAAGGTTTCCAGTAAAACCAACCCCTTGCCTCATGCAAATATATTTGAGATGTATTTCCTTGCTTTAGCACATGAGGAAGCGTTTCCCTGCCAAGTCACAGGTTCCAAAGCATTTTGGCATCTCCAGAAAACAAACAACCTTCGGATTGCTTTTATTTGGGGAGTGCAGATTGCAGCATGAACCCCGATCTGAGCATGAGACCAACGCTGCTGCTCGAGGCTGGGCTGTGCTTGGGCTCAATTTCAGCTGGTTCTGAAGCTGTGGACATCCCTGCAGGAAAGGTGAAGGAAAAATAGCACTTTGGGAATGTGGGTGTCTGAGAAACTGAAATGAGACGTGCTTTATGTGTTGGGAAATGACTCCATGGATCAAGATTTTTTTTAAAAAAACACAGAAAATCCTTGTTTTTTGAGCAGCCTGATCCTTTTCAATTCTGTGATTCTCTGATATGAGCAATCCTGAAGACACAAAGGCCCTTCCTTCCCCAGCTTTACCTTTCCCTCAGAGAAACAACCCACAAATAGCTGCGTTCAGGGGTGTTATTTTATTCTCTCTTCTGCAAAACACGGAGCAATTTGGGCAATGTGGGGGTTCAGCTCTCAGTAAAGGGGATTTGGGTTCTGTGGAGTGCAATGGGAGGTGGTGGGGGCTTGGCTTTCCACACAGAAAATTCCCAGCTCAGGCACCCAGAGGCTTTCACAGAAGGTTGTGGCTCAACTCTGCATCAGGCACCTGGAAAAGTAATTTTTCCCCATAGGGTAACTGTAAAATAATGAAATAGAAGAGAAGCTGTGATCTGGCATTTCCTCTCTATGGTATTTGTAGAAGTAATTTCATAAGTATTTCTGGGTTTATTCCAAACTTGGTATTTAAATTGATATTTTAAGGAGTTTTGAGAACAGAAAGGTGGAAAAACCCAGGTCAGAGGGGACTTCTGGAGTCAACCTCCTGCTCAGTTTAGAGAATTATCCCAGGCTTTACCCCAACCCAGACATCTGGGAAGAAAAGGCACAAATAATTTCAGGGTTTCATTCTCCCTTTTAGGAGTTTTTCACAGAATGTTGATAGTTCAGTTGATTTTTCAAGGTTTTAGGGGAAGTGTAATTTTTCTTTCTATTCTTTATATTTAGGACTCTGTTGGCTCTGAGTGCATTGGAGTGAGAACATGAAATCACCAAATTTCTGAGTCACTATTCCACTAATTTTTTTCAGTGGAGTCCTTCTCACTGGTACAAATTCCTACAAATTAGATACCATTTAAAATATTTGCTCAGATGATTTTTACAGGAGCTTTTCTCTAAAAAGCATCAACAATCTGAGTCTTACATAGAAGCCGGTCATCCTGATATTTCCAAGGATAGCAGAGATTGTCCTGCACAATAGAACAAAAGAGAATGACATGGTTGCAACACAGTGAACAATAATTACTTTTGTGTAATGCTGAGAAAGGCGATAAGAAATCAGAATTTACTGAAAGAGGCAGGAAGTGAGATAACAGCTTTACTGCTTGCAATCAAACATTATGATAGACCCTGCAATAAATATATAAACTTGATGTAGGATTTAATCCAAGTCTTATGAAATCCATGGCTTAAGGTTTCTTGGTAAGGAGTAAAGGCAGGAGTTTGGCAGCAGAATGTGATTTTTGGGCTGTGGGTTGTAATTCCTGGACTGCAAACCTGGTGCCTCTCCTGTGGAGGTGTTTTCCTCACTAAGCCACAAATTCCCTGCTTAAAATGGGAGTTTATTCTCTTTTATCAAGGGAAACGACCCTTGCCAGTGCCAGTTTCAGCAAGCACCCACCTACATTTGTCAGAGCCCATCCTGAATTCCTCCTCCTCTCCTGGGCTCGGGTTCTCCTCCATCCTTTCCTCCTTTCCAGGGCTCGGCCCAGCACGGACCAAAGTTGGCTCCAGGCTCTCTGTGGTGCTTCTTTCTCCTCCTTTAAAACAAAACACACGGATGCACTGCAGGGAACACCCCCACTAGCACCTCTTGAAGTATTCCAGCGTGTCAGACACCAAATTAGGCCATTATTTCACAGTTTCCTTCTTGTGAATTATGTGTTTCCCCTCACCGCTGTCATCACTGAAGGTTCTCTGTCCCTAAATTTATTTCTATGGATATAACATGGTCTGGATTAAGGTAGATGCACATATCTTTGCAAATCAGTTCTCAGAAGGGATTTTTTGGGCCTGTCCTTGTCAGCTTTGCATAGAATGAGCTGGATTTGGCCCCAGAAGCTGCCCAGAGTGAAGCCATTCACACCACACAGGTCCCTCCCTCCAGGATTTTCTATCACCCACGGAGCCAACAAATCCTCTATACACAAAAACCCAGCCTTGCTTTCAGCAAGGATTTGCTTTCAGCAGGGCTCCAGGATTTCCATTTCCTTCATTTGCTTTGTGCTTGAGCACGTTTAGAAAAAAAAACAAACAACTTCTCAAGGACTTTGCTTGCAGGTCCAGCCACGTTCTGGGGCTGCAGAACGGACACGTGTCTGGGAGATGGAAATATTCCACGGGTCAGACTCCAGCCCTTGGAAATCACAAGCAAAGCCCTTGCAAAACAACCACTGCAGCCCCAAAAGGTGTTGCCTGGCCAATTTACCTCTTTGCTTTTGAAGCTTGATTTTGGCCAGGGTGAGGATGGTGGTGGTGATGCAGATCAGCAAAAGCAGAGCTGGTAACACAACTGGGAGCAGCTGTGGTTCACCTGAGGAGCTGGGAAGATGAAGCACCAGGATTAAATTAGGTTTGGAGTCACCTTTGTGGTTCATGTGGTGGTTGTTTTCACACTAAAGAGTACCAAGGAGCTGTAAACTCTGACTGAATCAAAGCAAAGTCAACAGAGTCAAGGAGAGTTGCGATCATTTGATTTGGAGTTTGGCTTATGAGGAAGTGATTTCTACAGCTGCTGTGTGGGGTTTGTGCTGCCAGCTGAATTAGCCCCTCCAAAGGTAAAATGAGCTGTTTACACAACACAAATTCACAAGCACAATACCAATTCACAAGCAATACATCCTTTTGCTAAGTTGCTACAACCCTCACATTTTTGGAAGGTGTCTTCCCTCTTTCTGCTGAGATGCTGTGGCTTGGGGGAAGCTGGGGAGGATGAGGGGGATGAGAACCTGAAGTGCCCAGCTCGGTACTGAACTGGATTTGTGGACTTTGTGCCCAGCTGGGTTCTGGCTGGCCCTGAAATTCCCGGTGCACCTGATCCCTCCCAGGGATCCCTGCAATTCCTGGTGCACCTGATCCCTCCCAGGGGTCCCTGCAATTCCTGGTGCACCTGATCCCTCTAGCAGGGCTGGCTGGTGGCCACGCCTGGGAGAGAAGTTGGAGCTGCTCACAGGAGGGAAACCCACTGTGAAGCCGCTTGCACTGGGGTGAGACACAGGAACTGGTGTGGAGAGTGACCAGGGAATAATTCCTGGCCCAAACCCTCCCAGCCTTCGGATGAGCTGTGCCCAGAACTCACTCCTGGTTGAACAGCGAGCTCCCAGCAGCGCCTGTGGGCTCGGGAGGGCTGCCCTGGGCTGTGCAGCAGCCACACGTTCACCAGGGCTGTTGCTCAAACCTCAGCAACATTCCCCAAGGTCCTGGCAGTGTCCTGAGCACAGGGAATCAGGCAGGAGCACGGCTGTTGACTCTGGCAGCTGCTCCACAGGGGCAGCCAGCAGCAGGAGGGCCAGAGCCAAGCTCCAAGTGTGCACAGACACGAGGTGATCTCACCACCTTCTCTGCCTCCTCGTGTCTCCTGGAGGTGTTTGCAGCTGTGCACAACTTCCACAGGGCCCTGGGAATGGGGCAGAGTGGCTGTGAAACAGCAGGGATGTGGCTGTGGACTCACCTCTCCTGAAAGGTGTCACCTGGGGAGGCCGCAGAGGTGCCAGGGGTGGCAGTGAGCAGCAGGGAGCTGGTGCCCTTGGGGACAGTGCCTGTTGTGGTGTCCTTGAGGACAGTGCCCATCTTGGTGTCCTTGGGGACAGTGCCCATGGTGGTGTCCTTGAGGACAGAGCCCATAGTGGTGCCATGGGTGACAGTGCCCATCTTGGTGTCCTTGGGGACAGTGCCCATGGTGGTGCCATGGGTGACAGTGCCCATGGTGGTGTCCTTGGGGACAGTGCCCATCACGTGTGCCGTGCTGCTGTGCCTGGCTGTGCTGTGGGCAGCAGAACGTGGCGCCGTGGCTCTCCCAGGAGTAGCAGCTCCTGGGTCCCGTGAGGAGCAGGTTTCTGCAGAGAACATTAATTTGAGGCTTTAGTACCCAGCCTTTGGCAGGGGCAAGGTGTTTGTTAGATTTACCACAGATTTACACATTTCACCTGGCATCTCATGTGAAAAAACACCAGTCAGGCATTCCTGCTCTCCCTGGAGAGCTGTAAAAGCACTAACGAAAACCTGGATACCTGGCAAATATTCCTGCTTTAACTCCATTTGCTCTGCCTTTGCCAGAGGAGCAGTTCCATGGATCTGTCTATTTACACTCTGCAGTCTTTCAAACTGCAAGATAACCTTCAGCTTCCCTTCAGAGCCAAACACCTCCCTGTGCTGCATTTGGCAAGACCAGGATGTCACATCCTGGGGGTTTGCATCATAACTAAACAATAATATCACCTAAACCTATCACATTTCTTTGGAAAGCTCAGCTCTCTCACCCCTGAAAGCCTTCACCATCACCCCAGCTGCTTGCTAATAATGAAAGGAAAATGTAGAACAGTTTGGGACCACACATGTGTCCCAGACTGCAAGGCAAGATGAATTCCATTTCCCATCGCTATGGCAGTTGTCTTCTGTTAATTGGGCAGTTTTCCTTATCTCTTCCACAGCCAATCCTCTCTCGGGGGAGATATCTGCTGATAAAGGCTGTTGAATATAAGAACTGGAACATCCCACTGGGAGATGCTCTGCCCAGAGGGAGGAGCCAAGCATTCCTACCTGGATATAATCTGGGGTTTGGGACACCACACAGCTTTTCCTGCGCTGCATTTCCCAGAGGAACAGCTGCCTCTTCCACTGCAAGGTACCCTTTCCTACAGGAACTGCACCCTTTCCTACAGGAACTGCACCCTTTCCTACAGGAACTGCACCCTTTTCAACAGGAACGACACCCTTTTGTACAGGATCCACACCTTTTTCTCCAGGAACTGCACCCTTTTGTACAGGAATACACCCTTTTCTCCAGGAACTACACCCTTTCCTACAGGAACTACAACTTTTTTCTCCAGGAACTACACCCTTTTGTACAGGAACTACACCATTTTCTACAGGAACCACGCCCTTTCGTACAGGAACTACACCCTTTTTCTACAGGAACTACACCTTTTTTACAGGAATGACACCATTTTCAACAGGAACCACACCCTTTTCAACAGGAACTACACTCTTTCTACAGGAACTACACCCTTTCTACAGGAACTACACCCTTTCTACAGGATCTACACCCTTTTCCTACAGGAATTACACCCTTCTGTAGAGGAACTACACCCTTTTGTACAGGAACACTGCTCCAACAAAACCACACCTGCCACTCCAGGAGGACTGCAGCCACAATTCCAAATTGGACTGCAGCCAACACCCTGTCCAACAAGGTGTCAGGCTGTGTTCTGACTCTGTCAGTGTTGTTTTGGTTCACTGCATTGTTTATTTTATCTCTTTATTTCCTTCCCTAATAAAGAACTGTTATTCCTGCTCCCATACTTTTGCTGGAGAGCCCCCCTTAATTTCAAATTTATAACAATTGGGAGGGAGGGGGTCTAATTTTTTGGTTTTAGGTTTTTTTTTTCCATTTCAGGGGAGGCTCCCGCCTTCCTTAGCAGACACCTGTTGGTTCAAACCAAGACCCCACCACCTACCCTTGTGGATGAGCAGCTTCAGGGAGGCTGTGAGCTCCGTGTGCCCACTGCTGGCCCCACACCAGTACCAGCCTGCATCCTCCTCCCTCAGCTGCCCCAGCACCACCGTGGAGCTGCCAAGCCCAGGCTGGCTGCTGGACATCTGTGCCCGCCCTCGGTGGGACTCCAGCACGAATCCCTTGTCGTCCAGCAGCACCAGGCAGCTCCCTCCCCTCCACCTGCACAGGTATTTCCTCTCATAGGTCCCCTTGGGGTCGTGGTGGCACTGGAAGGACAGCGAGCCCCCGACTGTGCCGCTGAGGAGTTTGGTTCTCCTGGGAAGGGCGGAGGCTGTAGGGGAGAGCACAGACTTCTTTATATATATGTTTATATTTCATGCCCCTCACCCAGCACTGAGCTCCCCATACCCTGTCCTACCTGTGGCCACCTGCAGAACCACCTCCTGTGGGTTGTCCTGACCCCTCAGTCCTTGCGTCCCACACAGATACAGCCCCGAATCTTCCTCCTTTAAGTCATTTATCAGGACTTTGAAAGTTCCAGAGCTCTCTGGAGGGGTGATAACGATCCGTCCTTGGTACCTCCTGCCCACAAAGCCGTCAGAGCTGGCAAGGAGAGCGCAGCTGCTTCTGCCCACTTTGCACCAGAACCTCTTCTGGTGACTTTGGGTGTTCCCAGAGGGGCACAGGACTGTGACAGAGCCGTGGAGATCCCCTCGGATGAGCTGGGTTGGCCTTGACACCGCGGCATCTGTAGGGAGAGAGCAGGACAGGGACTGTCAGCACACAGAGCCCCCCAAAACCTGCCCCATCCTTTTGGCTCTACAAGTTATCTCAGGCCGTGCTCCTCAGCTCTGCTCCAGGATAAGAAATATTCATAATTTTGGCTTAAAATATCTCAAAAATATCCACACATATAGTTCACACTCTGCAACACCATCAGTTATTTCCTTTACTTCTCCAAAACCCATTCATTCACTCATTTCCCCTGTGCCCTTCCCCAGAACCTCTAAAACCTGTGTTTCCAACAGGCAGGAGAAGGAGAATCCTTTCTGTGAAAAACGCCAATCTCTTGATTTTTAAAATTTTAAAAGTTTAATAATAATAAAATGGTTATAAAAATAGTAATACAATTAAAGTAATAAAAAATTTAGAGTTAGGACAATTACAAGACAATAAAAAGCAAAGAATTATGGACACCCGGATGCTCTTGGGCACTTAAGCCACGACAAGCATGCCTTGTGAACAAAGGAATCACCCTTAAAACAATACACTGTTGCATATTCATATATACTTCATGGTTATGCATACATTTATTTAAAACAATAAACTCTGTCTGTTATATGTCAACTGTTAACTTTAATCCCCACGGCATCTTTGAGTGTGAGCAAGGCCTGAAGAAATTAGCTTCTTCTGATAAGAAAACCGTAAATTCCTCTTCTCTGGAAGATTTAGGTGTTCTGTGATGTTACCTCTAAGCAAGTGTCTCATTCCTTAAAAAAACCCCACATACACAGTTTCTATTTTAACTACTAAAGCTTCATTTTAACTACATGAATGTAGTAAAATGTATTACATTCATGTAGTACATTTTAATAGTTGTGCTGTATTAACATTTTAATACATTTACCATACTATTAAAATGTTACATTTACCACACTATTAAAATGTTAATACAGCACAACTAATCAATATAACATAATACTATCTGCATAGAGCCGTATAATATGCATTTTTCACACTTTCACATTTCTGAACAGCTGATTTGGCCAAAACTGCGTGCTTTTACACCCCAAAATTATAAATATCTGGCTAACAGAAAAAAAAAAGCTGAAGAACCTGATCCCAAACTTTTCCAGGAGCCACGACAAAATCCTGTCGCTATAGGACACATGAAAGCACAGCGCAAAGGTGAAAAAGAGGAAGTTTATTTTCTGACTCCAGCATTTATACTTTTCCAAAGGTGACAGTGGATTGGAGGGTGAATGTGCCACCTCTCCAACGACATTGGACAAACCACTAGTACATCCAATTTCTCCGCCTCTATGGAGGAATGCAAAACAATAGATTGCTTACAGAAAGTCGTGTGAGAAAGTTCTCCACAAGAATGTCAACTCAGAAGGCTTTAGAAAATCTTAACAATCAGGGCAACAAAATCCTACCTGCCAAAACAGTCAGGTTGAGGCTGGCGTAGAGCCCTTTGTTGGTGCTGCCGATGCCACACCTGTAGGCGCCCGAGTCGCTGCTCCTCAGCCCTGTCATTGTCACCGTGAAGGTCCCGTTCTGGGGGACATCCCCCAGGGCCACCCTGCCCTGGTACTCGCTGGCGGCGAAGCTGCTGGAGATGATGGTGTAGCAGAGCCCATCTGCTGCGATTTTGCACCAATATTTCCGCCCGTGTTTGTTGGCCGGCGTGGCGGGGTAGAAGCACTGGTGGGTGATGGAGCCTCCGAGGTTTCCTGCCATGAAGCTGGAGCTGTACAGGCGGCTGGCAGCGGGCGCTGAGGGACGGGCACAGAAGGTTTGGTTAGTGCCAGCCTGCCAGCAGAACCCAGCAGGGCTGCTAAGGGCAGGGCTGCACTTATGAGGGGCACCAGGGCACACAGGGCTCAGAAAGTCTGCTTTGGGTGTGGTGTTTCCTCTCCCTGAGTGCTTCTGGTGCCACAGAAAATCTACTTGGGATGTGGCGTTTCCAATACCCTTAAACATCTCCTGCCACTCCCCAATCATCTCCATTTAAAAAAAAAAAAAAATTAAAAATTTTATTCCCTGCCATTTATCTTTGCACTGATTGTTGCTGCCCTTGTCCAGATCTGACCTGAGAGCCCCTGGTGTCACAAAAAATCTATTTTGGATGTGGTGTTTCCAACACCCTTAAACATCTCCTACCACCCCCAATCATCTTTTTTTTTTTTTTAATTTTTAAAAATTTTTATTCCTTGCCATTCACCTTTGCACAGATTGTTGCTGCCCTTTTCCAGATCTGACCTGAGTGCCCCTGATGCCACAGAAAATCTATTTTGGATGCGGTGTTTCCCCCTGTGAGTGCCCCTGGTGCCACAGAGCCACTGGCATAGATTAGTGGGGACCCCTCAATGCCCCTTACAGGACCCCCCAGCCTGGAGTTAAAGGTCAAGGGCAGAAATAAATGGAAAATCCCTTTGGCATTTGCAAACTCTGCCTGACCTGGCAGCATCCTTCTCCCTGGAGATGCTGCTGGGGCTCTGCTCCCAGCTCCCCCAGACTGTGCTGGAGCTGTTGGGGGTCCTACAGTACAGGTGGAGGTGTTGGGGTCCCACACTGCAGCTGGAAGTGTTGGGGGTCCCACACTGCAGGTGGAGGTGTTGGGGGGTCCCACACTGGAGGTGGAGCTGTTGGGGTCCCACACTGCAGCTGGAGGTGTTGGGGGGTCCCACACTGGAGGTGGAGCTGTTGGGGTCCCACACTGCAGGAGGAGATGTTGGGGTCCCACACTGCAGCTGGAGGTGTTGGGGGGTCCCACACTGGCGGTGGAGCTGTTGGGGTCCCACACTGCAGCTGGAGGTGTTGGGGTCCCACACTGCAGGTGGAGGTGTTGGGGGTCCCACACCGAAGGTGAAGGTGTTGGGGGGATCCCACACTGCAGGTGGAGGTGTTGGGGTCCCACATAGGGGTGGAGGTGTTGGGGTCCCACACTGCAGGTGGAGGTGTTGAGGTCCCACACTGCAGGTGGAAGTGTTGGGGTCCCACACTGCAGGAGAAGATGTTGGGGTCCCACACTGCAGCTGGAGGTGTTGGGGGTCCCACACTGCAGGTGGAGGTGTTGGGGGTCCCACACTGCAGCTGGAGGTGTTGGGGTCCCACACTGCAGCTGGATGTGTTGGGAGGTCCCACACTGCAGCTGAAGGTGTTGGGGGGTCCCACACTTCAGGTGGAGGTGTTGGGGTCCCACACTGCAGGTGGAGGTGTTGGGGGGTCCCACACTGCAGCTGGAGTTGTTGGTGGTCCCACACTGCAGCTGGAGGTGTTGGGGGTCCCACAATGAAGGTGAAGGTGTTGGGGGGTCCCACACTGCAGCTGGAGGTGTTGGGGGTCCAGGGGAGGGTTCCGCCGTGTCCCCAGTTCCAGCTCTGCAGCAGGGGCTGGGACTCACCTGGCAGCAGAGCTGCTGAAAGGAGCAGCAGCAGCATGTCCAGCCCTCCCTTCTCGGGGCAATCCTCACAAATCTCACGCCGGGCAGGGGATTTTGCTGATTTCTGTGTTATCAAGAAAAAGAGAGAGGTTGTGGCAAACGCTGGAAACGCTCTGCTGGCCACTCAGGGCAGGGCGCTGCCTCCCTGCTGGCCCCAGGTTCTGACCTGTCCTGGGCCAAAAAAGGGGGAATTTTAAAAGGAAAAAAAGGTGCTGATGGTGCTCTGTGGATCCCATTTCTGCTCTGAACCCTGTGCGGTGGGGTGGGGGCTGGTGAAGGCATCGCTGGCAATGAGGGGTCAGTGACAGCCAAAAGGTGTGAGGGACCTGCTGTGGCATCAGACAGCCCCTTCTGCCTTCTCCCTTCTCCTTCTCCCTTCTCCCTTCTCCTTCTCCCTTCTCCTTCTCCCTTCTCCCTTCTCCCTTCTCCCTTCTCCCTTCTCCCTTTTTCCTTCTCCCTTCTTCCTTCTCCCTTCTCCTTCTCCCTTCTCCCTCTCCTTCTCCCTTCTCCCTTCTCCTTCTCCCTTCTCCCTTCTCCCTCTCCTTCTCCCTTCTCCCTTCTCCCTTCTCCCTTCTCCCTTCTCCCTTCTCCCTTCTTCCTTCTCCCTTCTCCTTCTCCCTTCTCCCTTCTCCCTTCTCCCTTCTCCCTTCTCCCTTCTCCCTTCTCCCTTCTCCCTTCTCCCTTCTCCCTTCTCCCTTCTCCCTTCTCCCTTCTCCCTTCTCCCTTCTCCCTTCTCCCTTCTCCCTTTTCCCTTCTCCCCTTTCCCTTCTCTCTCTCTCTTCTCCCTTTTTCCTTCCCCTTCTCCCTTTTTCCCTTTTCCCTTCTCCCCTTTCCCCTTCTCTTTTCTTCCTTCTCCCTTTCCCTTCTCTTCTCTTTTTTTCATCTCAATAAACTACAGGAGAAGCTGCAGATCTCAAGGCTGCCAACACCCTTAAACATCTCCTGCCACTCTCCAATCATCTTTATTTATATTTTATTTTATGTTTTATTTTTATGTTTTATTTTTATTTTTTTATTTTTATTTTTATTTTTATTTTTATTTTTATTTTTATTTTTATTTTTATTTTTATTTTTATTTTTATTTTTATTTTTATTTTTATTTTTATTTTTATTCCCTGCCATTTATCTTTGCACAGGTCTGACCACAAACAATGCCTGCACATTCCTGTTTAAGACAGGCATCACTTATTTCCTTGTTTGAGTTCAAAACTTTGAGTTGCTGCAGCACCTGAAATTCTTCTCCTGAGCTTTGCCTCAGCCCCAGCGCTGCTCCAGCCTCCCGTGGTTCATTTCATGTCCAAGCATTGGGAGCTCTTCAAAGCCTCAGGAAATGGGACAAGGACACCCCAAAGGCCATCGGGATCCTGATTCCTGCCCACAGACCCCAAAAACTGCTGGTGCCCTCCACCCCCAGCTGCAGAGGGTGGGACATGGTGCATTTGGTGGTCCTTCATCAACAAGGTACAAAACGGTCAACTCTCTCTTCTTAGAAGGTCTTTTAAGGTTAAACTAGCTAATTAAGAAATTACACTTAAATTATTGTCACTTTTAACTCAGTGTTGTGGTTTGTAGCAGCTGTGTTTCCTGGGAGTCTATAGTGCAAGGGAGACTTCTCTTTCCCCTAATAAACTCAGTATTAATTATATTAAAGAATAAATACTTAATTAAGGGTCCAAATGTGTCTCACTGTAGTTTGTTAGAGTTAGATGGTGAGAGGAGGAATGTTTTGAAAGGTTTTCATTTTAAATTTTGTATATATTTTTTCTTTCTTTAATATTTTATAATACTATAGTAGTAATAATATAATAAAGTTTTTCCCGTGTTATTAAGCTTAGCCTGCTTTGCTCTATTCTTAATCACATTTCACAATACTCAATTAACAGATTACATTTTCATAAAGGCGCTGGCATTGTGCCAGTGTCAAACCATAACACTCTGTAACCAATTATTTGAAGTCCACAGTGCGGGCTTTTCTGTCTAATTATAAAATATTATTCAAACTTACAAAGAAGGAGGAAGAAGGTGAAGAAGGAAGAAGAAGGTAAAGAAGAATAACTTGCTTCTGCCTTAAAATTATTACCTTGTAATATTTGAAAACTCTAAATTTTACGTTTTCTACTTTGTGATATTACACACTTGTAATTAACTACACACTTGTCATCTCAGTGCTGTTAATCAATTTTGGAAGTTTGTTCTATGGTCTCAGGTCAATGCAGTGTTCTCTTGGGACTTGGAGTTTGTTAGTACAGAAAGTTTAAAATTCTTTGGGGCTGCAGCTGGCCCAGGGCCCCTCTGAGCACTTCCCCAGTTTGGCTGTTCTGGGGCACTGGGCAGAACTCCAGTGTCCCAAATTTTTACTGGTTTTGGGCACTGGGCACAGCTCCAGTCCCCCCAGTTTGGGCTGGTTTTAGACAGTGGGGACAGCTCCAGTGTCCCCAGTTTGGGCTGGTTTTGGGCAATGGGCACAGCTCCAGTGTCCCAAATTTTTACTGGTTTTGGGGCAGTGGGCACAGCTCCAGTGTCCCAAATTTTTACTGGTTTTGGGGCAGTGGGCACAGCTCCAGTGTCCCAAATTTTTACTGGTTTTGGGGCAGAGGGCACAGCTCCAGTCCCCCCAGCTCTGCTCACTCAGGGCAGAGGCCTCAGCAATTCCCTCACTGCAGCCAACAGAGACAGAATAGGTAAAAAATGAGGATTTTCACTCAAAGTCACAATTCCTACCAGACTGCATGACTTGGAGGAATGAGGAGCCAAGAAAAATGCCCTGTAAATAGCTGAATAGTTTTTTTTAATTTAAAAAATTCAGTAATAATAATATTTCTGTGCTTATTTAATCTTTCCTGATGTCCAGCAGTGCAAGCCCTCTTTTCCTTATTTCTGCTCTGCAGGACAGAACACTCAGTTCCATTTAAATCTCATTTAGTATTGGAATTTAGGCAAGGAGTTGTTTTTTAATGCTGACCCACAAATAGCATTTGATATAAAGCAGAAAGAGACAAGAAAGGGTTAGAGAAACCCCAGGAGTAAACCCTGTATGTTTGGGTTTTTCCTGACTTTATTTCAGTCTTATTTTGTGAAAATGTTTATAGGATCCATTTTTGGCGCCTGATTAAACCATTATCCTTCCACCATCCAGAACTGGGGTGCATTTTATCTCATCCATATCTTTGTTGTTGTTGTTATTCTTGGACAAAAAGGGCAGTAATTCAATTTATAGCTTTAAAAGGGAAAAAAAAAAGGGGGGCACAGTAGGGAGAAAAATCATCATGTCACTACCTTTATTTTTATAGAAATAATTATGTTGTATTTCAGAACTGTTCCATCCTGTAGGTGAAATCTCTCTCCTATAATCACTCTAACAACAGCACTGTTCTCAAAAAGCAGCATTTTAAGGGCAAATTGAGACTCACCTACCTTCGACTGTGATCCTTCTGCTGCTGGAAATTTTCTCTTCATCCACCTCCAGCTCGGATTTTGTTTAATAAAGTTGTTTTTGCAGCTTGCAGCTCAGTTAGTCTTTGCTTTTCTCTTGATGTCAAATTCTTTTTTTCATGTATTGATGTATAGAACTTAAAATGGGTGCACTAAAAATCTTCTGAGGTCTTGATGTGCGTTGCTGAGCAAAGTGGAGATGGTCAAAATGCTCAGAGGAGTAGCAGAGATGTCATCAAAAAGACCCCAAAATGGTCTTTTTTAGCTATCTAGAGATGTGATGACCTCATAGAAGGGGGAAAAAAAGGGGTGAAGAGACCAAGAGCAGAAATTGCAGAGTTTGAGAGGAATTCCCCTGCTCTACAGACAAAATGCTTTAATATAAAACACGTAGTATGTAATGAGATGGTGTTTGCTGTGAGCCACTTCCAGGCAGAACTTCACATCAAGAACTCTGTGAAAGGTTCCTCAGACACCTGTGCTTTGCCTGGCCCTTCACTGAGCTCATGTCTGTGTTTTGATCCTCTTTTGGGGTCAAAAAGATGATTTCTGCTTCCATTTTGGCCCTGAAATGTGAACATGGTGGGTTCAGACCACAGGGTGTGAAGGCCTGAAGAACAAACAGGGTCTGAAGAACAGACTCAGGGCAGTTTGTTCCATAAACACAATTCCTCTTTTGCACGAACCAAAGAATTTAGAGGACTTTGAAAGTGCTGATAGCTCCAAAGCCACGGAGGCATTTCAGCTGCTGCCAGGGACTTGGGGCTGCTTTGCTTTCCCATAAAAATGATGGATTAAAATCCCACCTGTGGCACCTTGGAGAGGCCCTGGGCTGGCTCCAGCCCCCTGAGTGTCCCCAGGATCTGCAGGACAACATTCCCTGGGTGAGGAGTGTCAAGGCTTCAGAGGGAAATTTAGGGAATTATTTCCTTCTCAGTCCTGTGGGGTCCAGGGCCTTGATCTCCCGCTCTGGGGTCAGCCAGGGTGTGAAGAGCAGATTGGTTTGTGTGTAAAACAATCCCTCAGGCACTTTGGAATCTCCCTGGCCGGGGATAAATCTCCACCGAGCAGTTTTGTGCCGTCCATGGTGAGATGATTAATCCTGGATTGCAGTAATTGTTGTGTTTTGTACCAAACCTGTGCCATAAATCCCCCAGTGTTGGCTGGGCTCCAGCAGAATTGAGGGAATTTGTTGCCCTGAGCGCAGCAAAGCACCAGGATTGGTTTTGAGTGAGCAATAAAATGGGATACAAGTGCTGATGGGAACCCCCTGGGAATACTCAGTGTTATTTCAGAGAATCATTAAAAAATGGAATTACAGGAGACCCTCCTGGGCAGTACCACTGCCTTGCACCTTCCACTGCGAAAGGAGAGGTAAATTTAATTAAAGTTTAAAAAGTTTAAAAGTTATCTTTAATTTTAAGTTTAAAGTTAAATTTAATGCAGGTAATTAAAGGAGAGTTAAATTCTCCTGGGCTGTGCTTGTAAAGGAAATTCCTGTTCCTTCCTCAAAGGTGCTGGAGGGGGAATCTCCTCCCTGGGAGCAGCACCAGGACAGGCAGAGGCTCCATCCCTGTGCAGATGTGGAGGTTGCTGCCAGCACCTCAGCCCAGCCTGGCTGTGCTCAGAGCT